TCCCATCTGTCCACATCTAATTAATATCTAGGAAAAAGTCTTTGATAATGAAATTATGCTCTATTCCATATATAGTATATGTAGTGCACTATATAACTATTTAGTACCACCAGTGCCATGTAACAGTTTAGCAGTAGAAACATGGTTCATGGAACGGAGAACTCTGTTTTAAAATTTTGATTATAATTAACTCAGGCTGAAATAGATTCATGTGACTAGTATAGTGTTAGACAATATTTTGTTTCTAGATCAGAGATAAATTATACTTCAGTGGAGCCTTCAGCCTTTGGTCTTCAAATGAGCTGTCACCTGTTATGTGTCTGCCCAATGTTGAGCCATGTAGAATGCATATCCCACCAGTGTTAAAGGAGCCCTTGTGACTACTGGGTGCACTATAAGAAGATAGAGCTCTGCCACAAGTTTGGTGATCTTCTGCCTCAGCTCACCTCAGTATGTGAGTGTTCCACCAGGAGAAAGCAAGCAGATGCTGCTGTTCCTGGCGTCCCAGTATTCCTATCCCTCTGCATCTGCATTTCCTGAGATTAGACAGCGTCTGAAATGTCACTTTCTTTGGGTAGTTTTGGTTTACTACTGCCGAGGATTTAGCGTCATTTCTGTAACAAAGGAAGGAATTGTGTTTTCTGAATTCAAAGCTTAAATAATATGAGTAACAATTCTTTTATCCCCCTGCTGCTTCCTCCAGAGGTTTCTCTGCTGCTCTGAGCCCCAGTCATTTTCCATCAGATGGAAATTCCTGACTCAGCGTTTTTCTCTTTTAGTTCCCTTACCCATTTACTCTGTGGTCTTGATAATGAAGTAGATGGCCTGTGATATTAAAGTAGTACTTTTGATTTGACGACTTGTATCATCTCAGCATTTTCAGAACTGTTGGCCTATAATCTGCTGTGTCTGTGGTTAGCTATAGTTCTGCTTGCCAAGTAAGTGGTTTAAGTTACTGGTTTTACACTTAGCTTTGAATTTGAAGGAGGAAAAATAATCCTAAAACAGTGACTCAGAAATTTACTTTGATAAATTGCATAATACTAAAAATGTTGGGATCATATAAATTGTTTTACTTTAAAAAATATCTCTCCTGTGCTTAGCCTTGTGTGCTATGTGAGTCTTGTGTCTGTATATGTGTTATGTGTCTTGTGTCTGTATATGTGTTATGTGTCTGTGTGTGCATGCCTGTGCACATGTTTAAACCCATGAAGATTATCTTTCCATTCTATAATTTTGTGTTTTTTATTCAAATCCCAACATGAATGTCTTCCATATTTTATGCTAATAATCAAAGTAGTTTTCTATCTGTTGTCCTTACTGCAGGATTATTAACCTTGAAATGTCTTTATTACTTGATTTTTTTTAAAGATTCTTTTCCTTTCTGTTTTTGTCTTGTCAACTTTGCCTTGTTTTTTATTCACTTTACCTTATTAATATTTTTGAATGTTAAAAGTTTTTGGCAACCAGCAATTTCTGAAGTCATAGGATAGAGTTTCAAACCAGTGACTCAAGAAACTGGTTCTAAATTCTGTAAATTCCTATCAGTATCTTAGCACATATTACATTCTTTGCTTCAAAATACCACATACATCCTAAGTCTTCTTTTTGCTTGCCTTAACACACACAGATACACATACACACACTCACAAAGACACACACACACTCACAAAGACACACACACAGACACACACAGTTCTACATTTGGGCAGCATCATCACTCAGAAAACTTTTACTTTACAGGCCTGATGGCTAATATTCAACAATTTTTCAAGTATTAGATCATTTGTTTTTCTTTTAAAAGACATCTTCTCAGCTCACCAGTTCACTGATTCATTTATTGACTAGTTGACTTTGGGTTTTGTTTTTCTTTTTTTTTTTTTTTCGCATTTGCTTATATGTTTGTTTAGATGTGGTCTCATGTATCCCAGACTTTCTTCAAACTGATGGTGAAGCAGAAGATGATCTTGAACTTTTTGATGATCCTACCCTTATTTTTGTGCTTGGATTATACATGTGTATAATGGATAGAATGCAGGGCCTTGTGAATGCTGGACAAACACTCTATCAACTTAATTGTACTGCTATCCTTTTGGTATTTATTATTTGTCACTCTTTATATATTCTGGACATTAATACCCAGCCTGAGGTATACTTGGCAGAACATTTTCCATAGGCAGGGTTATGTTCTCAACTGTTTCCTGTAGTTTGCTCTTTTCAACTTGTCATTGCCTACTTAGGGCAGTATTTCACTCTGGGATGGTGGAAGGTTATATTCAGACACCTGACTTCTGGGTGGATTCTGTTTTCAGGCTCGCAGGTCTCAAGAAGGAGCCCACTCATGGACCTTGAAGTCACATAGTGTGACAGAATGGGTACCCTGCTGACCCATTACTTCAGTAGGATTCCAATATGTGACTGCTCTGGGCTTGTTCTGAGACTGGTCCCTTTACCAGGTCTACTGGGCTTATCCTTTGGATGATGCTTTCATTTCCCATGCTTCTCCTAGGGATCTATGCTGCTAGGGGTGTTGGCCTTGCTGCTTTCTGTTGTGTTGCTTTTCTTATTTCCAACATATTTCAGCTATTGTGTCACTTACTGCCTGCATGGATACAGGAAGCTCTTCCTCTTCTGTCTTTGAAATAGTCTGCTCTTTCTTATTCTGATTTTATTAGCTGGATCACATGGAGTGCCTTCTAGTTACTGTTCTTTCCCAGAACTGTCAAAGTTTTGCATGCAATCAGAATCTGTTAGTTTTGTTGTGTGCATACATTGTGTAGAGGAGGGGTAGAGATAACACCCACAGAGTCCCTGCCCTCAAGGTTTTGCAATTTATGGAACTGCCTGGTGACTGAAAGTAGATGTGGCAGTGAAGTTAGAGAACTAGGGACATTAAAGTTTAGTTACCAGTGCTTTGTTGTGTGTGCCTTAAGATGAGCTAGACTGTTAATATTGCTTGCTTCATATGGAGTAGGTTAGAGAAGGATCAAAGGTTCCATCCATCTTCTGAACTTGGCCAGGCTGTGAAGTGTTTTCTGCAGTGCCACTCTGGTTACTGATTTACAAAAATGTACACATTTGTAACTGCTTCAGCTTGCTTTATAGTGATACAGTGAACTCAGAGGAAGGCCTTGAATGGAATTGTTCAGAAAAATTGTACTAATAATATTCCTATCTAAATGAAATTACAGATTTGGAAGCTGTTAGAAAAACTCAGTAAACTTTGGAATTCCATGTCCATCAGTATGTTTGAAGGCATACCTCTCTATGTATACACATGTACACTTCCTATTATCTTCTTTCCTAACCAAGGCCCTAATCATACTCTGTACATACCAATTCAGCCTCTGCAGTAAAAAGATGTAAGACCACTTATCAATGATTGAATATGCTGCAGTCCAGCCATTTAGATATTTTAAAAATCATTAAAAAGAAATCAAATTCAGGTGATCATTAATCCTTTAAACTGTTATATGCCTGAGCATATCTTCACTTTTGAAGATTAGAAATATATATTATCAAAATAAGTGAGTTTATAAAATTGTATTTAAATTATCTGAAATTAAGAAATATATTACAAAAAGTTTAAGAAATATAGAAACCAAGAAGCTGATACATATAATTTAGAAACATGTATATTAGTTTATATTTCTATCTGTAATACTGAAAAATAATTTCTTCAAAGCATAGTCTGATGTAGTGTGTATTATAGACTTTGTTTGCTGTTCAGTATTATTACTGCTTTTGTATGGAGTCTCACTGTGTGCCTCATGCTGTCTGAACTTTCCATCTTTTTTCATCAACCTCGGAGTGCTGGGATTACAAACTTGCCATTCTTCCTGCACCTTCTCTTCTTTTCAAAAATGCTTTCCTCAGATACAGTATTTATAAGGGTAATATAAAAACTTGACCTAGTCTATCAGCGTAAATGTTTTCATTAATACTGTAGTAAAGGTCAGTTAATAAGGCCATCCATTTGGTTATATTCATCATTGGCAATACATTGTGAATACTTGTTTCCTATAAGTTGAAAGCACACGTGGATTAGCCAAGAAAAATTCTATATTAATAAATTGAAATGTTTTAGAGACTGACTCCATGTTGGTTAATATAGATTTTTCTTTTTGCAGTTCTTTCTTCCACAGTTTATTGGAGTTAAGAAGTGCAGTTAAATGGTCAGGGAAACAATGAGTTCATACTAATTAACACTGACTTTAAGTCTAGCCTTGCCACCAATGACTACATTGTATGTATAGTCCTAGTGTGGTCCATCTATCTGTCCCAAGATATTAACTAGAATAATTGCAAAGTACTTTCATTCTGTGAGTTCCCACCACATCTCCTCCCCCCTACACACTGAAGTGGGCACATCTCAAGAGAAGGATCCTTGAACTATAGGCTAAGGTGTAGTAAGATGCTATGACTCTTAAAACCCTGCTGGGAACCAGCTTTCCCTTAGCGGCAAGCCATGTGCAAAGCAATGTTGATTCTGGTTATTTTAACTGCACCTTAAAGAGGTGGATGGACATTTGTAGACCTCTGGGTTCCAAGCCTAGGGGAGGAAGAACTTCCCATTGTTTTGTGGCACAGTTACTTGATATTTAGCAGGCACTATGGGTTTTTATTTTATGATTTATTTTTGTTTAATGAGTGTTTGTGCATTTATGTATGTGCAGTCCATGGGTGCCTGGTGCCTGTGGAGGCCAGAAGAATGTGTTGGATCCACCTTTGTAAGATGATGTGTGAGTTGCTGGGATCCAAACCAAGGTCCTTTGCAAGAACAGTAATTGTTCTTAACCACTGAGCCATTTCTCCGCCCATCACTAGTCATTATTGTGAGTGAAGAATTAATAGTTTACTAGGCATTTTATGCATTGTGCATTATTTGGGCTGATAAACTGTAAAATATTGAAATTGTTCTGAAGTACACAAAATTCTTTTAATTTTATGGAGATGTGCTGTAATACGAAGTTCTCCATCCTGTTCTTCCTCTTCTACAGTGTGTCGAGATTTTGCTGTCCTGGAGGACCACACCTTGGCTCATAGCCTGCAGGAACAAGAGAGTAAGTAACAGCTCTAACTCATGAGCTAGCAGCTTTCTCTATAGTGGCAGCTTGAGGCTAGTTTCTTCCTTTGAGGTAAGGAGAAAGTCACTAGGTATACCTCAAATCTACCCTGAAGGATAGGTCTTGGCAAATGACAAGGGTAAATAATGAATTCTGCATGTTTTGAACTGAGTCAGGGATAAGAATAGTGTTCACTGTCTGAAGGAAAAGGAGAGACATTTCCCTTCCCTTCCTTAGGAGGGAGACAGTGGTTGTAAATTTATCTGCAGTATGTTGGAAACTTGCCCTTGAAATAGAAACAGGAAAATTTTCCATAGGCAATAGTAGTATCTATGTTAAGAAACACTGTGGATTTGTTTGTTGTTTGAGATAGGGAAGCCCAGACTGATCTGAAACTCCTTATATAGTCAAAGATGATCTTGGAAATCTGATCCTCCTGCCTCTATGTCTCAAGTGCTGGCATTATAGGCATGTGACACCACACCCAGTTGATGCCATGCTGAGGATGGGACCCAGGGGCTTCCCTGCATGCTAGGCATGCACTCTGCCAACAAAGGTATAATCTCAACCCCACATGGTGGATTTTTCTGAATACTATTTAGTGTCTTAGTAGAAAGTAAAACCCAATTAGATAGCAATTATGAGTTTGTGATTTGTGAGTTCTTGAAATGACAACAGAGTTTAGTAGAAAGAACACTGGCCCACTTAGCATGTCTGTATAGATATTCTGGCACTGCTACTTTTATGTCATGTGCTCTAAAGCAAATGGCTCACTCCTTTTGGTCTTGTTTTTCAGTGGAGTAATTCCTGAAGTACTTTCATCTGTTATTAAAAGCATAAAGTGGAGTGGTGGATGTATAGACCTTTTTAATGGCAAGACTGTTCTTAAATTAATTATAAGCTTTTTATTAACCAGTCAACACTTGTAACTCCTCTTTTAATGGTTCTGTCCAGTTGAGCATCATTTGGCATCAAACATTCAGCGGAGCCGTCTGGTGCAGCATGATCTACAGGTGGCTAAGCAGCTCCAAGAGGAAGACCTGAGAGCCCAAGCTCAGCTCCAGAAGCGCTACAAAGACCTGTGAGATCTGGGGAATGGTATTGATATGAAGCATGCCTATGGGAAGCAGCTGGGCAGGAAGCAGCCCCATCTAGCTCTGTTTCTTTTCTGTCTGGAATTGCAAATTGTGTGGTGGCTGTCCAGTAATTTTCTTTGGAAATTTTCTTTGTTACTGAAATATGGAAATGTTAGTCATAGTAGGCACACTTTTACTCTATGATTTTGAGCTGATTGGTTTGCCTCTTTCAATTTAGTCTTTGTACACATGATATGAAGAAAATAATCTCTTATCTGCTAACTGTAAATTTGTTTGGGGAAAGCACTGGAATAATAGACAGTATCATGGGTTCCTTTAGTTTTCTTAGCTGTGTTTGCTGCACCATCTTTCTTTGATTTCCTTGCTTTTCAAGAAGTACAATGTTCTAGAAAGTGCTGAATTGTAGAGTGATAGGTTATAAGTGCTAAATGTGGGAAATACCACATTTCTTCACAGGACCCCAAGGTTGGAAGCTCCTAAGAAACTAAGAATAGCAGCTTTCAGCCTTTACCCCTATAGTCTGGGTAGCTAGCAGAGCAGGTATTTTTATTAATAGTACCTTTCATTCAGATTGGGACTTTTAGCTAATTTCCAGCCAGGGTGACCAGTGTTGACTGCTCCTTACTCAAGTAGTCCTCCTGCCTCATGGTTCTGTCCATTTAGCTGGCTGAGCTGGAACTAGCCCTACCTAGAAGCAGACTGAAGTTGTGAAGCTAAGACTAAGCTTCACTTTCTTATCTTCTGTGTCACTGGTGACCTTTGGAATTTTGATCCGAGGTCCACATTGTGCTTCTACTTTCTTCCTGTTCCTAGTCACCTATGTCTATTTTTTTAATGAGTAAGATCCTAACATACTTGACCTGTAACCTAAAGTCTAAACCATTTTTTATGACTTATTCAGTGACATAAGAAGTCATAGCTCAGGACTTACAAAGTCAGGTCTACAAACTTTTCATTTAAGGATTGTTTCTTGCTACCTTGTCTTAAAATGAAATCTAATGTATATACACATTAGTATGTATAGATATACTTCTACTTTTAGGTATATCTACCAGCTTCCAAGAATATTAGAAACCAACATTTAGTGATGTAAATGAAAATTACTTTTATCTCCTTGAGTTTATTAGAATATATGGGTATCAGTCACTCCAGAAAAAGTTAGGGTTCCCCTGACAGTACTTTCTAATGTAACTTGCTGATTCTTAATATGGAGTATGTAATCATGTCTGAGACTCAAAGCATATTTGAAGATCGGTTGTTGGAGGGAAAATAAAGGGAGATATATTTATTTAGCAGGTGAACTGCAACTTATGATTTAAATTTTTCCAGCTTGCTTTGAAGTAGTCATTTCTAAACATAATTTTGTTCATCTTTCCTAGATGACTACTTTGCACAAGAGCTAACTTCCCAGAGTTATCACACTCTAGAATTTTAAAACTGTCATTTTTCAGTGAGGAGGCCTAGGTAATCTATTGAGCCTTGGGCAGTAGATCAGTATTCATCCCGTGTATACACACGGACTTTGGACTCCCATCCAACAATGTGAGATGCACTCTCACCCTGAACTCTTGGGGGAGGGTCTAGGCCCTGCCCTGGATGAAATGACAGACTATGGACACCCCCATGGAGGGCCTCACCCCCCCTGGGGAAATGAGGGGATAATGGGGGGGTTGGGAGAGGGCACAGGAAGAGGGGAGGGAAAGGGAGAGGGACCTGGAACTGACTTGTGAAGCAACCTTGTTTCTAATCTAATCTAAACTGAAAAATAAAGAATAAAACTGTCATTTTTCTTAATACCTGAAACCAGAAGACTCTGTACCCAGGATTGTATTTTGTAGTTACTTCGGAGAGAATCAGACTGCTTAAAGATGCTAGGAGAGAACTGCTTGCTGCTCTGGGGGAGACCTTGAGTTTTGTTCTGATTACCAGTTCACAACCATCTAGAAATGCAGTTCCAGGCATGTGATGCTGTCTTCTTGCTTCCTTGGGTACCAGACATGTGTGGTGCCTATTCACACATGCAGGTACTTAATATAGACACATACAGTAGAGGAATATATCTTGAAGGCGCCATTTTAAAAGTTCTTTTTCTCTTACAAAAATAATTGCCCTGGTTTCTCCCATCTAAATGTATAAAATACTTGTTTCTTCTGTATTGAACATCATGTTGCGTCCATAGTAGGTATTGCTTACATTTCTGTTTTATGTATTAATATGAAAATCAAATAAATAAGCAGAAAATTAAAAACATGACACTGTGATAGCAATGTTTCTAATGTCCAAAGCCTTGAGAAAATTGACATTTTCCAAAGAAGCCTCCACTCGGAACCATAGTTAAAAAATGCAAGCTCTTTTTGTCTTTTAAATTTTAACACATCTTTTAGTGTTTGCTTTTAAATTTAAAAACGATACAGGTCTGTTGTGCTGTCTATACTTCTGTTCATCCTCTCTGCCTGCCAGCCCCACCTACCCTTGTTTGTGCCTTGCTATTGACCATTCAGCTCTTTATTAGGACCACCTGGTGTTTTAGCCAGGCACGGTAACACAGCTTCAGAGTTAAACAAATGCAGCATAAAAAAAGTCACACACTGTAAAATAATATTCTACCACACTTTGTGATCCAACTTTCTACTCGGTTCAGTTGGACATTGATCCTTTTGGTCATTGTCATGCAAATTGAATTAAAATATGTAACAGCATACAGTGAGTATTCAATAAACTGTATTGTTTAACAAAAATGTTCCTTTGTGTTTTTTATTTATATCACGTTTACCTTTGTTTTCCAGTGAGCAGCATGATTGTGAAATTGCTCAGGAAATTCAGGAGAAGCTGACCATTGAGGCAGAGAGACGACGTATTCAGGAGAAGAAGGATGAGGTATGACTTTATTGAGGTCTGCATCCCTGGAAGAGGTTTAGTTCAGTGCAGCCTTTCTGGATGGCTGGAGGACTCCTCATTTGGAGTGCAGTAGGGCCTAGGTATACACTGTTTGTGGCCTCTTGATGGCTTGTGTTCCTGGGAAAATCTTGGCATGAAATATGAATTAGTTTTCTAGCACTACTGACAGAAGTTATCTCTGGTGTGATGACTTAACAGCATAGGAACATTTTCTCAGAAACAAGAAGTCTAAGGTGAACTTCTCTGGGAAGCTGTGCTCCAGCTCCCCACATCAGCCTCCATCTTCATTTTCATAGGCAGGAAGCTCATGATGGTTCAAGGACCCTGTTGTATCCTTTATGACCTTAAATAAATATATACACAAAGGCCTCAAACAAGGCCATATTCTGATGCTTTGAGTGTGTGAAATGCTGGGAGCTTGCTAAACTCTCTGAATCTGAGAGCAACTTTTGTGAGCAAGCCTAGAGTACAGCTCACACTAGAGTGAGAAGTCAGTTCTTGTGAGGTCCCAGGAGCTGGCACTATTCTCACTGTCTTTATATATGCTGACCTAATGAATGTTAAAGTTTGTTCTTAAAGCCAAAATGAATACAGTTGACAAAGATGCTTAGATTGTGAGACAATGAATTTGCATGCATTTGTTGTTATGTTGTTTATTTGTAATAATCTATACTGAGAATTTCGTTTATACTAATTCTATGTTTACCTTCTTTCACACATACAGCACTGTAGAAATGATTGGTCTATTTTAATGGTAGGTAGGCTCATTGTTATATATCCAGAAACACCTATCATAGCTTTAGGGTGGGGGTGCTAATAATCATATAAAGTGGCACTCTTCTGGGCTGGTTGGCACATGTCCCTTTTAAATAGATCAGGGTCATTAGTAAATTAGCTTACATATAAAGAGCCAGCTTTGCTCCTTAAGGTTTGTTCAGTAACCAATGAGTGTGAGATATCTGAGCAGTTGAGATTCAGACATGTGGCTTGCTTCCTTTTCTGTGTGTATCACTTTGGTCACAGTAGAGGCATTTGTTGGTGTTTTTAAAATGAATCAAGAGAATGTATATTTAGTTGACTTAATGCTTTGGTCACAGTAGAGTCATTTGTTGGTGTTTTTAAAGTAAAATGAAGGAATGTATATTTAGTTTGTGTGTGTATAGAGGCACACCATATTTTGTACATTTAAATCTTGGTCCAGATACATGTTATGCACAACTATTTTAGGAAAGATTTTTTTCTTATGTAAATATTAGCGTAGCTAACCTTGTCATGCAAGATTATGGTTCTGGTCTAACAATTTGAAGCCATCTGTACTACGAACTGCTCAGAGATAAACTTAATAACCAATTTATAATCAAAACAAATCCAGTGTAATGTGTACTTATCCATAGTACTCTCAGGGTATTAAGATTCTATAAAAGTATATTTAAACAGATTTTGTTAGTACACTTTTCTGTGTTTTGAACAGCAAAATGCTTGTATACATACATATTAATAAGGCTGAGGAAAGGGGGAATTCTAGTTAAGAAGAGCCTGCTTTTCAACTTTTCTACCTGTAGCATTTTCCAGTTTTCCTGGCTTTATAGGGTAACCCTTGGCATTACACCTGCATTGAAATGCCCACTAAATTAGGCATTCGTATGTTAAATGCTAATGCTAAAGTACATCAACAATCTAATTGAGTGGTTTTGATGGCCCCACTTTCCCTCTTCTTACAATCATTTAAATCTCATATTTTTATGTCACGTCTCATATCTAAGTTAAAATTATCTTTCTGTTAGCACTATGCTGATTGGAGGACAGAGGTGAAACCCTTAAGGGAGAATTAACCCTGAAATAATCCTGTGTAGTGTAGAATTTCCCTAAGGTCCTTGGTCCTGGATTAATAGTGTTCACTCTAGGGAAGCTCTGAAGGCTACCTGGGCTGCAGTAGTGGCTGAGGTAGAACCCTGAGCCACCATTCCCTGCATTATTCTCCTGTGCCTTGGCCACTTGATAGATATTGTTAAGGGTCCTAGCCTGGATCCAGATTCTGCACTGTCCAGAGCATGATATTTGGCCCCTTCAAGAAAGTCTAGAAATGTATGTTTTCATTGCTTTCTTCCAGCATCGTTAGAGGTCTGGAACAATGTCCTTCATATGGTAGACACTAGAAAAGAGACATAAAATGTAATAGCAGACTCACATTCTAACTAAAATGTTTACTGCCTGGTCTTCTGTAAATGGGTTATTTTGCAGATTTGCCCAAAGTAAATATACCTGATAAATCTGATAAATTAAAGCTTATTGTGCCTGAGTTCACAAACCGTTAAGGTTTCTTGAAAATATGTTTGCCTATTTTGTTTCATAAAACAAGAATTTTACAAGGTTCATATTTTTTAATTTAATAAAACAACTGTCATAAAACAAGACTGAAAATTCCTAGGTTACCTCTTAACTTAAAAGATTTCTTCTATCCACTTTTAAAAATGTTAAGATGCATTCAATTTAATTGATTTACTATGGGGAGTAATTCTGATTGAACTCAGAGCCTTGGGTATGCTTCAGATACTTTTTCACTAAGTTGTTCCCTCAGCCTTCTTTGTGCATTTTAAAGAGTTAACTACAGTGAATGTTTTGAACTGAGTGGTTTGTGTTTGTTTGGAGACCTGTTGAGACAGCATGCTCTGTTCTGGAAGATGTGTGTTCACAGGAAGGGAGCTAAGGATCCAGAAGACTGTTTATATGCAAGTTGACCAGTTGACTGGCTGTCTGCAGCTCAGTGAGTAATACTAGCAGCCTTTAATGTCAGAGGAAAGCACTTTGGTCATGACTGTAATGGAGCTGGAAAGCAGAAGGACCCCCTTTGGGGCCTGTGACCTGAGGACACTGGCAGCTATTCAGTCATGTCCTTCTCTTCAACTCTAGAAAGCCATTTCTTCTGAAGCACCTAGAGTTACTGAGAAATTAGAAGAAAAGAAAATGTTTGTTGTCAAGTACCTTACATGTATTCTTATTCTTGCTGGATAGGCCAGCCAGTACCGTAAAGGAGGTTATGATTCTTGTTCTGCTGCTCGTCAAGGTAGGGATAGTGCCTGGATTATCACTAGGACTGAACTCGGTACCAAGAAAGCAATGAAAAGTTTCAGAGTGCCGTTTAATAGTGTTTACTGGCCACTGGGCCTGAGTACTTTCTTCTGTATTCTTCCCTTCAGTTTTTAGAGCAGTGTTTGTGCTCACTGTAAAGCCAGCACTTAGGGAAATGTTATTTTGGATGTAGGAAATAGTGTGACTCGACATTTGTGCTGCCTTCCGCTTCTCTGATCAGCAGCATAGGAACTGGAGAGAATATGTATATAGAATAATAGTTTTGGCAGTAGATGCTACCCTATCTGCCCTCTCTCTTCTTGGTTTGTGTGTTACTTAGTAAGATCTCAAGGTAACAGTTCTGGCACACTGGTACCTGTGAAAGCCAGCAGATTTATTTGGACGGTTGTTGTCAGAGACATTTGAGTTTAAGGTTGAATAGCTTTTATGCTCTTTATCGTACCTAGATTAATTAGAACCTTAAGAAATGTGTCTGTCTGTCTCATTATGTCACTTTTAGATCATCTGGCTTGAACTGGACTGAGAACAAAATCACCAAAGGGACATTTTTCTGTCAGTACACTGGAATTTCACTTTCTGGTGTGGAAAAGCATAAAGTAGGATTGTCCCCTTCTCTTTACCACTCACTCTGAGCTGTGGCATTGCGTGAATACCTGCTCAGGTGTCTGCATTGTATAATCTGAGAATTTAAATAAATTACAAACAGAACTTGACTGAAAACCATTTGTTAATACCATTTAAAGTTTGAAACTGGACAGTAACATCCATATTGTCAAATATACAAAACTATATTCATATATGATAAAAAATATTTGTGTTACAGTCATAATTTTATTTCCTGGCATAGCATCTAACTTGCATTTATCTACTTATTTATTTGCTTATTGATTTGGGGGGGGATAGGGTTACTCTGTGTAATAGCCCTTACTGTCCTGAAACTCACTTTGTAGACCAGGCTGGCCTCAAACTCACAGAATTCTGCCTGTCTCTGCCTCCTGAGTGCTGGGATTAAAGGCTTGCACCTTCATGTCTGCCGTGTCTGGCTCTAACTTGTTTTTTGTTTTTATTTTGTGTGTGTGTGTGTGTGTGTGTGTGTGTGTGTGTGTGTGTGTGTGTGCGTGTGCGTGTGTGTGTGTGTGTGTGTGTGTGACAAGTCTGCTTCCTTTGAATGGGTTATTTCAATTTTTATGCATTCTTTTACTCTACTCTTTTGGACACATTTAGAAACTCCAGAAGGAAGAAAAGTGCTTTTTATCCCTACTGTGTTTATCCCATTTAATAAAGAGCTATCTCAAGTTACCCATGTTCTTGACTTCACTTGTATGATGTGCTTTCTTGCCCAGTTGTCTGAACCTTGAAGAACATGATGGGATATGGAGCTTCTCTCCAGAAAAGCACACACTGTACACAAAAGTTTTTGTGCTCTTCTATGGGGCTCTCATGGCCAGAGTCTTGTTGTTCAGAATACTACTTCCCAAAGCAGAACTATTGGTATCCTTACATCTACTCATATAGTGCAGATCACAGACCCTGAAGATACAGTGCCTGTGACCCACCAACCATCTTCTGGCCCACCATTTTGCTGCAGTATTTTATATCTTATATTCTTTAAGCTTTTGGCCATTCCTGGTACCAATAAACCTAACAGCCTTGCTCATCTGTGATCTGGACGTTGTCTGTTGAAATGCCATTCCTTGTTTAAAGCGTAACAGTGCAGAGCTGCAGTAATTCCTTGCATTAGTATTCCCTCTTTGGTATCTCTGTAGCTATTCAGTTGTGTTTGAGGCATGGTCTTCCTGTTACTGGGGTTGTTTGTATGCACCTTTGCTGTCAGTCATTACAGAGTGATAATATTTGGGGAGAGAATTAGAATCCATAGCAGCTGCTCAGAATGGGGCCTGTAGATGCCAGGCAGAGACTCATCTTCTATTTTTTTTTTTTGTTAACACAGCAGTATTCCTGTGAAAAGCCAGCTCAAAATCACCATGCGATTATTTTTACAATATTTATATTGAAATTATAAGCTAGCTTATTAAGTTTTATAACTTGCTATTTCCTTGCCAATCCAAATCATCTATTTGGATGAAAGACTTCAAAAGACATTTTAAAAATTATGCTGGAATTAGCTATAGATAAAACTACTTTGACTCTTCATAGATTTAGCTAGCTTCTTGTTTAAATTAGAGAAAAAATGAAACCCAGTGTGCTTTACTAGATTTTGTGTCCCACTTGCTGAGCACTCATGTTGGTATTTTAATGATGTTTGATGAATGCATGGAAGGCTGAAGAGCCTTAGACATCAGACCAGAGAGACAGGAGGAACTCCAGTGTGCCCGCCTCAGCCTTCTTTACTCTCTGGTGATATGTTTCGCTTCCTTTTTGCTTTTGTAGGACATAGCACGTCTTTTGCAAGAGAAAGAGCTACAAGAAGAGAAAAAGAGGAAAAAGCACACCCCAGAGCCTGTTGGGGGCCGTGCTTTTGGAGACAGCTACTATCATGAAGATGGAGGTAACAGCCAATGCCTGTATCATGACCTTCCCCGTCCTTAGCTCAGCTACAAATCTCCCTTTTCAGTTGGTTCACAAAGTCAGCTGAGGGATTAAGGAACATGGCTCTTGTCCCAGACCCTGGGTGCATTTAGATTTGTGGCAGTCTTCTGTTTGAATTTTAAATTTATATCCTATTTCATTTTAATGAATGACTGTATTTCTTATTCATGGGACAGCCATGTTTTTACTTAGAACTTGAATGTGGCTTTGTAACACTTATGCACTCTGTGTGCTGAAGCCATTGTAGTGCTGTGTTACTGTCTAAGCAGAAAATAATGTAGTGTGGCAAGCTACACTAGTGGGTGCAGTTCTGGGTTTGACGTTTTCCTCCAAAAGCCCGAGCAGTGCTGTTTGAGTCAGGAAGGTATATCATGCATCAGTCACTGGGTAAAAGCTTTCTTCGTCCTTTTTTCCCCTCTGATTACCTGCAATACCAACCAAACTGTGAAATTCACTGTCTGCTATGGTCTTGATGATTTCCCTGCTGTTTGATTAGCATGTAGAATAACTAATGAAGGGGAAAAAAGCCCCTCCATGTGTCTAGTGCCGCTTTTCATTGTGGTGGTGATGGTATGGTGGTGGGCATTATCTCTAAGTGTGTTGGGAACAGAATATTTGCAAACACAGAGCTAGTTCAGTTCTTTCAAAGATTTGTCAGATGAAGGAAAATCTTCTAGATCTTACTGATATTGAGGTTCAGTTTCAAGACTGTACTCCAGGGACACCATTAAACAGAACTGAAGAGCATATATAGTAAACATTTCACATCAGTGATCCTAGAGGACCTTGAAAACCAGTTATCAGCCACTTTAGAGAATGTATATCTTTGCCTTTAATGACCCGAGTTGGTGTGTATATAGGTGGTAGGATTCTTGTAACTTGAGAATACTGTGGCCCAGTCACTTTTTTCTCTTTTTCACTAACATGTTTGTAATTGGTTAATAGTCAGCTCTGTCCTGTTTGGGAAGTAGCTTGATGTCTTCCTCGGTATGCTCAAGTATTTTTAAAGAGCTGTCTTTATTGTACACATTTTCAGTTGAAATTGCATATTGCATCTTACATAATGAAAGAAGGTTGTTATTATTGTTTTATATGGTAGGAAGCACAAGGTATGTAGTTACTTACTGTCCTTTAGTGTCAAAATCTTAGAAATGCAGAATTTGTACTGTGCTGGGTTTTGTTTGTTTATTGTTAAATTTGCTCTTGAAGCATTCTACTATAATAAAAATAACTTCAATTTTTTAATTTTATTTTATGTGTACGGGTGCTTCCTCTTAACATATGTCTGTGCACTGCATGTGCCCATGGAGGTCAGAAGAAGGCATCAGATTCCCTGGGACTGGACTTACAGATGTTTGTGAGCCACTGTGTGGGTGCTGAGAATCAAACCCTGGTCCTCTGGAGAAGCAGCCAGTGCTCTATACCACTTAAGCCATCTCTTCAGCCCCTCTGTTTTAAAACTTTAAGTGTAAAACACATTAGGATAGCAGAAGAGTCAACTAAAATGTCCATTTTAGGTATTTGTATTAAAACCCACACTAACTTGAGCTGGTACACAAGCCTGTGTGTTTGGATTATAGTACTTATATCCTGATGAACTTTTATTTTAGGAGACTATTTAAAACTTTGTATGGTTCTTCTTTGTTTTTTTTCCTTCAGGAACACCTAAAATTATATTTATTTTATCTACTTTTATAAACTTGTAGAGCGTGGAATGTAATAAACTCTTGTTTCAAAGTGCTAAGAGAATATTAAGAAATAGAAAATGTTGGTTACTCCAAGTTTGTATGGACACTGGTATTTATTCTGCTTTGGTGACAATATACTGTTGTCATTTACACACCCTCCAGTTAGACCTAGTTGGGTTCCATCAGGACTATGCTATTCAGGTCGTCTTTACAAAGCAATTATTATGTTCTATATAAGGATTCTTTCCCAACACACATGATCAGTTCTTATATATTCTACTGTATCTTTTGTTTTAATCTGATTTTTGCCTTAATTATGTAATAATTACAATGTGTCAATATACTTGCCCTTTCTTATGCTATGCTACACTTCAATAAATCTTAAAAAAAGATCATCTGTAGATTATAAATTTGAAATTATCTAAAATATTTGTGATTGTTCATAGAAAAATAGCATTAGGTATTTCTTTGTAGATCCATGTTTATCTTCAAGGCCCGATAACACAATCTTATTTGTGATTATTTCCTAGTACATGAATAACCTTTGAGAACTATCCCTTCAGTCCCTTAGGACAATTTGTAGTTTGAAAAGTTGTTTAATCTGACTTTTTTCTCATCTGTAAAATGAAATTAGAAAAATACATTTCTCATATAGATTTTGAAAAGATCAAATTATGTAGTTTTGGTGAATGAAAAATTTTGAAGTAATACATATATAAAACATGTACATATATGTACATTTGTATTTTATTTAAACAAATCTTACCTTGGAAGACAAACATGGAGGCACACTTACAATATAGATACATGTGAATATGTTTGTGTGTCATATGTACCACACATGATTGCCAACGAAAGCATTAATTGTATTTGCCAAATAACTTGGTCTCAAGAACATTCAAATCTCTTTTTACAACCAGCAGGGGTTGGGAAAGACTTAAGCAGAATCCCCTACTCTGGTCTCTCCTACCCCAGACTTAAAGATGCTATCATAGGTGAATTATAGAAAATAAAACTACTATCAATTAACTGTTTAGGAAGAACTAAAAAAAATATATTAGTCTTGGAAATTCATCTCCAAACAAAATCCTTTGTGTTTGCTCTGAGCTTAATGATGGACTCCACTCTTACAGTTCCATGAACACACTAGTATGGACATGCTGGTAAACCTCTTCCCTGAATGTGGTCATCATTTAATAGCTTGTCAGTATTCGTTAATTCTTTCCAGTAGCTAGTTAATTGTTTATCTGTTGTGAAGACAGAGTTAACGAGAATTAAAATAGCATTTTTTTAAAATCATAGAAACTGTTAGGTTTCGCTTTTATGTCAAGTACAAGTTTAGCTCTGAACTATGGAGAAAATCATTTTATAAATATCTGTTGAAGAAAGCATATTTTACTCTAGACCCACCTTTGAAGGAAAGTTCCCTTTCTTTTAGGAAATGTACAAGGAAACTGAGGATGTTGAGTGGAAGCTATTTTATCCATGTTGGATTTAGTACATATTTCCTTATTTACTGTGGTCTTGCAAATTCTTACCAATTTGCTTTCTTATTCTTATAATATGATTGAGTCTGATAAGACCCTATTAAAGCACCTATGTATGTAGGTTTTTTTTTTCCTTTTAAATTGGGAAATTTATATTTATAGCTTATACATATGTATATATAAAACAGTATGATTGTTTGTTAAATATATTTGGAAAATGACACCTGTGTATGTATTTCATAGGTCATTCCTTTTTTAGCTTTCTCTTTGAATGAATTCAACTAAAATGAGGACAGAATTACCTCACTATAACACATCATTTATTCCTTAACATTCTGTTCCACTCTGTCCTCCTTCTACAGTAAACTAGAACGTAGGCTGTCCCAGAAGCATCTGAGAATGCTTATTGTGGGCACATGGAAAGGTAGAGGTGGAGGGAAGTGATCTGTGGGTCATTTTGAACTAAGCAGAAGTTAGGAATGTTGTACTATATCTTTACTATCATTTCAGTGGGAATGCTTGAAAGTCTACAACTGAAATTTTAGGGCTTCTATTGCTGTGAAGAGACACCCTGACCAAGGTGACTCTTATAAAGGTAAACACTTAATTGGAGTGGCTCACTTATAGTTCAGAGGTTTAGTTCATTATCATCATGGTGGGACATTGAGGCATACAGAGAGACATGGTGCTAAAAATGGAGCTGATATTTCTCTATCTTGACTTGCAAAGAACAGGTAGTAGTATGAGACACGGGGCATGGCTTGAGCATATAACACTTTAAAGCCTGCCCTCACAGTGACACACTTCCTCCAACAAGGCCACACTTTCTAATAGTGTCACTCCCTGTGGGGACCATTGCCTTTCAAACTACCACACTGTCCATCATTTTGTAATTTACTTTATAAAGTAGGATTGATGACTGTTGTCCATCATTTTGTGTTTGGCAAATATGGTGGTGCTAAGCCCTTCCTAATCATGATCAGATTCTTTATGATTCAAATCATTTCACTTAAGTTTTCCTTTTACCTTTTTGGCTATGTATGCATGGACCATTCCAGTAAGTATTCACCTCTATGTCTCAATTTGTGAAGTTTCAGAGCAATTTTATCCACCTAAAAATATATTAGTATTGAGTCCCAACTTTCCTATGTAATGAATTTATACTCTCATTAAGTTATCCATTTTTATTTTTATACCCTCTATCTTCACTAAGACCAGCCAAGGTCAAGGAGGGCCAGGGAATTGGGTTCTGGATACTCAAGGTTTCATAAACTCCAAAATGATGGGAAGACTATAAAACAGAAGAAGGAGAAACCAAGGCATCTACGGGAGAACTTGGAAGAGCTGGAGGAACCCTGTTCATCAGAGAGATCTCTGCCTTCTTCTAGCTCTGGCAGAAGGAGGGATGGTGCTCAACCTTCCAATGATCATCATGAAAGAAAGCGGACTGGTCAAGAGAGACTCTGCAAACCTCCACTTCCGAAGATCAGTGGTGAGGTGTTTCTGAGCACGGAATCTGATGACTGGGAGGCTCACAGTAGCTCTAGAACTCGGAGTTGGGAAAAGCAGTCTCGACATCATGGCAGACTTTCACCCAAGTCTTTACAGAAAACAGGGTTTCCTTCTAAGGAAGGTGTGGGTGGGTGGGACCGTGGGCAAGGCGATCACAGAGAAAGGAGACATAAGCCCAGGACTCCTTCCTTCTCAGAGGATGAAGACCTTCAGAACCACCATGATGCAGGTAATGGATCACCCTGCTGACATCCTATGTGTAAAACCAGTCAGTTCAACAAGCATCGTAAGCAACCTTTGTCTCTGTCAACACGAACTCCTGTCCTTAAAATGAGTCTTGGAGCCAGCTACTGTATGCGGTATCTGGAAGAAGGAAATTTCTGTACTATTCTCCTGTAAAAGCATGCTGAGTTGGAGGGTTTTCTGGGGTCAGGTTGCTAGTACAGGTGCCCTTCCCAAATACTAGCCTTTGTTTGCCACAGCCTTGCATCAGATGCTCTGATTCTGAAAGGAAACTTCTTGTATTGTCGGCTTTATTTAGAAGATCTGGTTGTAACTGACTTAAGTGTTTATCTGCTAGTGGGACTCGAAATACTTAACCCCTAGACCTCATATTTCTGTAAGGGAGGCATCAGAGAAGCAGGCACTCTTTTCTGAGTACTTTGAGAACATGGACATTCAAATCTTTTTTTTTTTTTTTTTTTTTTTTTGGTCAGAGATAGCTAGGGTAGGATATTTTCTAGAACTGGAAATTTCTGAGTCAATTTGGAACATTTTAAATCTATAAATGATACATAATTAGAGATTAAAATTCATTGTTTTCAGTTATCTTTTATGGTTTAATGTGCAACTCTTAACTCTGCAGTTCTTCTAAGTGCCAAGATGTACAAGTTCTCAGTTCCTGTAAAGAAACAAGCAGGGTAAGGGCTGGGGAGATGGCTCACTTATGCATGGATATGAGAGCCTGAATTTTAATCTAGATCCCATATAAAAGTCAGGCAGCCTGAGCAACTGCCCATATTCCCCATATTGAGGAGACAGACAGCGGAGATAGCTACCCTCACCAGAAAAGATTAGTTCTGAATTCAGCAAGAGACTTAGCTTCAGTATATAAAATGGAGAGGGAATAAAAAAAAAACACCCAATAACTGCAACAGTCCATACACACATGTGTTAATACTGCACACATTCATGTACATGTATTTCATACCATATAGATATGTGCAGAAAATAAAGTTAGAAAACATAAAATTAAAGAAGTAAGAAGTGAGTGTGTAAAGAAAGAACTCTTTAAAGTTTTGGCACCTCTGAAGTTCATCCTGGTAGTCCACTGGTACTGTGTGTTGTCAGGAACATAGTGAGGGAGGTTTTCCTTGTGGCTATAACACAGTCATGACAGCTCTAATTTTAATAGGCATGATCTTCATCATTCTGGTTTCAATCAGTCCCCATTAAGTTTTACAGAGATGGAGAGGTTATCATAACAGAAGTGTCAAGGAGGACCAGCTGTGTTCTAGTCACACTTTGCTGGTGATTCCAAAACTGGTGTCTAGGTTGCAGATTCATTCTGATTCTGCTCGCTTTCTTATTATATCTCACATTAAAACACCCTGGTTATGAGGGCAGATGTAAAAGGATGGAGTGATAACAGGGATCAGAATGCATGATGATAAATCCACAAAGAATCAATGAAAGTAAAAGTAAAATAAAAAATTAATAAAAATGAACCTGGTTACAAGAAAAATTCAATTTTAGTTTTAACAAGCTGTATTGAATACCACATATATTGTTGTTTGAACCTTATGTCAGAGTCCAAGCTTCAGAGACAGATGGATATATTTAAAGATGGATAAACATTTTCATATTTGATGCACCATGTTAGGAAGACAGGAGCAAAGAACTGGGAAAATAGAGAAGAGCTTGCTGAGGTTCATTAAGTAGGCTTATGAGAAAGTTACATTGTGGCTAGGTTAACCATGTTGGAATTCTGTGGAGTGGTGGAGTGCACTTGTTAATTCCACTAACCTCTGCATTTTGCAAACCTGATATGGATGTGCTCAAAAGGCCAGTTAACCTTTACAGCACTTATTCATAAGCCATGGTTTTTAAAGAAGTTTTGGGACGTGAAACTAAGCACCAACTTGACTTTGTCTTCAATACTGGGACTGAAAGTAAATGTTACCTTGTTAACAGAGAGGTTTAAAGAACAGTGTGGTTATAGCTACTAACTAAAATGATTACAGTGGGAACTGCTTAGTGCTTATCACTTTATACTCAGCCTGCTTTAGGCTGTTTACTTCCCAGTTCCTATTGGAATTTGATTTTGAGCTTTCTTGGCGTGGTCAGGAGATTAAGAAATACTAATTAGGTACTGGTGTCAGCTCTTGCTGTTGAAAAAATTACGATTCTCAGAGATGTGGTATATGTCAGATTCCTTTTCAGTTACCAGTAAAATTAACTAACAAGATGACAACACTGGTCCCAAGAGCATTTGCAAAATAATAGTGCAAGAAATCAACTGAAAATGAAATTGCTAAATTAAAATGAGAACTGGTTGACTTTCCATAGAGTAGTTGAACTCTGTCTGACTTTGAGAGGAACTTGTGTTTATATCTGTGACAGCTTATTGGTTACATAGGTTAGATTCTCGCCTTCCAGGGCCTTAAATACTTGCACTCATCTGCTGTGAATTCTGGCTTAGATACATTATGATGTGCCCTAAATGTCAAATGGCTTCTTATAAAATATGCATACAACTGTAGAGTGTAGCCTTCCCCACCATCTGCCTGGGCCCTGCCACAGTTGCAGTCCCCAAATAACATGGAGGTTGCTATATTAATTATGAAGCTGTTGGCCGTCTGCTTGTATATTACTGGCTAGCTCTGAGTTAAGTATTTAACCCATAATTGTTAATCTAAGTATTTCTCTTACCAGAGAAAAGGGGTCTGGACCTCTTACTCCTCTGGCAGGCTACATTGTGTCTGCCTGTGTCTTTCTTTCCCAGAATCCTCCTCAACTCCTAGTCCCATCTATCTTGCTTCCCTATTGGCCAACAGTGCTTTATTGACATATACACAGGACCTCCCCATCACATACACAATACCAAAAACCCATCAGTTACATTTTTTAATCTTACTTTGTGTAAATTTATCTTCAATACGAGCAGTTTTAGTTTTTCTTGGTTTCAAGTACACACCTCTATTCCCAGCACTTGGGAAACAGAAACAGGAGGATCTCTGTGAGTTGAAAGCCATCCCAGTCTCCATAGTGACTCGTAGGTCAGCCTGGGCTACATAGTAAGACCCTGTCTAGTGAGCTCTCCACTCCCTTTTATCTTACTATATCAATTTTTATTTAAAGAAAACACTTCATTTGTGTTTCATTGTGTTCTCTGACTGTAGGATATTAACAGGAAAAGATAAGAAACAGGCTAACTGTATGAAAACTGGAGGTGTTTCTCGGGGTAGAACACTTTCCTAGCATGGTCATCTGCACTACCACACACAAAGAATGGGGGAAGGAGTAGGGAGTTGGAGAAAGAAGGGCACAGCTGAGATGTAGCTCATCTTAAGAGCAGTTTCCAGATTCTATTCAGGGTGTCGAGATATACATCTCTGTTTTTGTAACGATGGCTCTCCATTACTTATAAAACTTCTTGTCACTCCAGGTTGGGGGATGCTGTAGTTGGGAAGACAGTCCTACCTATCCCGAAATCCATACTTGTAGGCTGTAAGTGTTTCTATGAAATGAGAATTGCAGATGTCCGCGATGTGCAAGGATCTGAATAAACTGTCATCACTGTCATAGCTTAATACTATTCATCTAACTACATCTTTGTTAGAATTTAAAGTGATGTTTCAATTGTTAATTTTGTTGGATAGAATAGATGAACCCACTGCTGGAAAATGTTGGCTATTTTGAAAGGCAAGTGTATCTACTCATAACATTTCACTAGGTAGAAAGAGAGGCATAATCTGTCATCCTCAGTGAGGCTTTAGGCTATTCACTGAACTTGTTTCTTTTCTGTAGATTGGAGTATAGTACAATAATTTAATCATTCACTGGTTTTACCCAGTGTCAAGTTCCCTACTTAAGTTTAGTTATTTTTTTTCTAAAATCTGCATTTCTAAATATGGCCATACACGTTGTAAATTCAGACAAGTGTATTTACCCAATTGCATATGATCTGCTCTTGAGAATATCCCAAACCAGTTAGAAATCTGTTGTAAACCAACCCAGAGCAGCATAGGATTCAATACCTCTTGAAATGATTTGTGGTGATCTCTGTAGTCAGGCCCTAGGAAGTATGACTTAAAAAAGACAAACTTTCTCATCATTTTTATAAGATGAACACATGTGAGTCTACATTTTAAATTTATCACAATAGTAGGTAGGATTTCATAAGATAATCCAAATTCTGTAAGTATAGTTTTATTTTCATGTATGTATATATGTTAGCTTGTGAATCAAATGTAAAGAGGTATTTTACTAGTTATTTTAATATGTGCTTCTCTTGATGCTATAATGCACTGAACAAATGCGTCCATGCTGTGTGAAGATGAGCATTTATTGGAAAGGCTTAATATAGATGCCTGAGGCAAGAGCTCACCCAGGCTACTCAAGTTAGAGTACGTGGTATTGGGAACAGTATCTTAACATTAGTGAATCAATCAGAAGTGATTCTAGTCGGTGATACTTGCTCTGACCTGATGATGGAAATTTCTGCCCACTTGGTTCTGCAGTCATTTATTTCCAAATAAACAGACAGAGCTTATATTATAAACTGTTTGGCCAATGGCTCAGGCTTCTTATTGGCTAGCTCTCTCTTAATTATTAACCCATTTCTATCAATCTGTGTATCTCCATGTAGTCTTAGTTTACCAGTGATGCCTGGGCCTCTTTCTTCCTCAGCAGCTACATGCTGTCTCTCTCTCTCTCTCTGTCACTTTCTTTCCCTCCCTCCCTTCTTCCCTCCCTCTTTACTCTCTCAGTTTGTCTTTCCAGAATTCTCCTAGTCTGATAGACCCGCCTATAATTCATACCTGACTATATCCTACCTGTCCATTGGCCAAAACAGCTCTATGCATCAAGCAATAAGAGAAACATATAATTCACAGCATATGGAGGTTATCCCCCATCACTGACTAGTAGTACAGAGTTTATCAGATAAATTTTGTGTCCCTTTGTTGTTCATTTACTGATGGTTATATTAGATGCTTGATCTAAGGGTTTCATTTAAAAGGTTTCATTATTTCTGAGGGCAGTATTTTCACCCTATTGACTAGCTGTAACTTATAAAGGTATGAAGAGGGATGTATCCACAATTTTAAAAAGATTAACTTTTGCCTTTTTTTGGAATTTATAGAAGGCTGTGTGTTCCTATAACATTGCAAAGTAACAAAGCATAATTGTCACCCAGTTCTCTTCATCCCTTTCTCTCCAGAGAAACACAGTTCTGAGGTCATTATACACTCTGATATTTCCTCTATGTTATGTTTTTCCTAAAATTGTGTAATACCAATAACAGATGGGTCAAAGCTGTAGGAAAGATCTAGAGCAAGTGGTTTTATGTATCTGACAGTGGGTAAGCAGGGTCACAGGGCCTCACTTGCAGATGGCCCTTTCTGTTCTGCAGGAAGATGTATAGGCTACAGAACCTGAGAGAAAGCCTTTCTTTTTGTTGTCTAAACCACATTAAAACTCTGATTCTGGAACCTTCTTTTCTCTGAAATCTTTTCATTTTCCATGGTTTTGTTTTTCCTCTTTTCGGTTTTTGTTTTGAAGTCTTGCTTTCATTCTATTTTCTTCCTTGACCTTCTGCTGTTGAAGAAACTATATGAGAAATGTTTCTAACCAGGCAGATTTTGGGAAGTAACTTTGTTAAAATATTTGAATTGTGTGTGTTACTGTTTTCATGCCCAGGAAAAATTCATTTTAAATGTACCCCTCACTGAAACCTACAATTTACAATCTACACATCATTTTAAATATTAAGAGAGAATATCTTTTTCTTAATATTTTTCATCTTTTCAGAAAGCAACCCCAGTTACCTCATTGAATTGAATTTTTTCTAGGAACGAAACCAAGAGGAGTAAAAGAAGCTGTCGGTACGCCTGCACGAGTGACCCACAGAGATCAGGAATGGTATGATGCTGAAATTGCTCGAAAATTGCAAGAGGAAGAACTTTTGGTGAGTTCATTTAAGGTCAGAGTTCAAGTGAAATAGGGGTCATATGTGCAAGCAGAATCATACCATTATAGAGTTCAATTGTTGGCACTATGGTTCCATCACTTAAAAAAACTGGTGTTTTTTCTAAGGTTTGGGAAATCAAGACAGTTAAGAAGAATGTCATTCCATTTATCCATGGTTTACCTTCTGTAGCTTTGGTTATCTGTGATTAAAAATAAGTAATCTGTTTTACTAAAAGTAGTGTCTTTCATTACTGGGGTTATTAATCTTTCCCTCTGACTGATTTGTAAATTAAACCATTTTGAGTTTGTGTGCCTAGAGGAAGCATTGTCCGCAGAGTTTGCCACCATCTGCAGTTTCAGGCATTCCCTTAGGCTACAGGAATGTGTCTTATTGAATAAGGAGAACTTTTATATTTAGCTGTACATATTGATAACCATTAGCAACACATATCCATATCCTGATTTCTGTATTAATAAGTTTTGGTAGTTCTCTAAAAATATCCTGTCGAGTGAGTTACAAAGTCCCTTCATTCTGGCTGGTAAAAATATGCCCACTGACCATCAACTTCTGGAATTCAGCTACTACTAATTTTAAATTCTAATTTATTTTATGTAAGATATTTTAAATGGGAACACAGATTCAAGTTGTTTGTTGTGCTTCTGATTTATTCACAGGCCACCCATGTGGATATAAGAGCGGCTCAGGTTGCCCAGGATGAGGTCAGTTCATATTAATGAGATTTCCCTAGATTGTTGAGAAACAACCTCAAATCTGTAACTAATGATATTGCCCATATCATAGGAAATTGCTCGGCTTTTGATGGCTGAAGAAAAGAAAGCTTACAAGAAAGCCAAAGAGCGAGAAAAGTCATCTTTGGACAAAAGGAAACATGACCCTGAGTGCAAGGTAGTGTGGACCTCTTCTGTTTGCTTCACTTTTAAATCACAATAAAATGAGAGAAGCAAACAGGATGAGCTCTTAAAACCATTTTGGATATGTAAAATACCTACCTGACTCACATGACTAACATGTCATGGTTGTTTCTCAATGAAAACATTGAATACTGCTCAAATTGCAAAGCTCATTTTGATCTTGTTCAGAGTGAGACTCAGGTGCGGGATCTGTTTTCATATACTTACATTGCAAAATGATGCATAATTTTCACCTGCTTTCCAACCTTCCAACGTGAACTGCATTTGTCCTGCTTTCCCAGTGTGCCTGCATTGTCCTTCTGCCCTTTCACACAGCTTCCTGTTTGTGTTTGGTAGATGGAGGACTGACAATAAATGCACATTCCTAGCAACCATTGCTTATGTCTCAGTAGAAGAACACTGTAGCAGGATCTAGGACTATTTATTATCTTTTCCTCTTTAATCAGAAATAGTTGTATGTCATCATTGTGCTGTCAATTAATCTAATTGTTGCGTACACTGGTCACAAGTTCAATTTAGCAAAGAGTATTTGTGTGCAAGGTACCTCAGACCAGTGTGGAAACACAAATCTTCCTTTTCCTGACAGTGAGAGGAACACGACCAGTTGTGTGTGTGCCGAGGTAGGGTGTGCTGAAGAGGCAGAGACCAGCGGGTCCCTAGAGAAAGGCAGATCACAAACAGCTGACGATGCAAAGCCAAGGAGTATAGAAGAGCATGCAACGGGGAAGAGAATTAATGAAGCAGAGGTTGTACTAGCCCGGAAACATGTAGCCTAGAATACACACTCATGACATATCTAACCTCTGCACTGTGTTCTCTTAATCCTCTTCTAGGTCTCTGCCCTTGCCTCATAGTTTCAGTAATTATTGTGAGGGAAAATAACCTGACACTGTACTGATAATATCACCTAACCTTTTCTGTTTGCTTAGTTACTAAGTATAAGTCTTAAAACAAATGGAAGTATGATTTCTATGTGAGTTATATCTCCTTAGCCCACCTATCTTTAGTAATTCAAGATGTTTTCTGATATATTTATTTCATTTTAGTTGAGTAACCCCAATTGTTTCTGCTACATAAAAGAAGCCACAGATGTTCAGATTCTTTGACCAAGTAAAGGTAGTTTAAATAGATACCTGCCTTTGCAGTTTCCATACTCTGGAACGGGTACGGGTACAAATCCTTTCTTTGAAAATTTGACTTGAAACATGCTTTAGTTGTCTGACTGGAAAGTTTTCGCCCTAAGTCAGATACAGAAAAGAGTTTAAGAACTCAAATCCAGATTCCATCAACTGTGTCTTTTGGATGTGACCAGCTGTGTAGCTCTTTTGTTACAGATTGTGGCTGTCCATGACTGTGAGAAGCACAATGTATGTGTGCGTGTGAGAGAGAAAGAGCGTGTGGTCTGTGAGCATGCAGTGTGTGACCCCCTCATCTAGCTATGCTTGTGAGGATTGCAGGTGTGGGGGGAGATGGAGGACGAGAGAGAGGTATAAGCATGCTGTATGTGACCCCCTCATCTACACATACTTGTAAGGATTGTGTGTGTGTGTATGTGTGTGTGTGTGTGTGTGTGTGTGTGTGTGTGTGTGTGTATGCATGTAGTTTGTGGCCACTAATCTGGTCACATAAGTAGACTGCATGAGACTATTGTGTCTGTCAGTTTTTGACTTGAATGACCGAATATAAAAATATTTTATGTGATTCAACTAAGTGTTGCCTGAAATTCCTAAAGGGAAGCTTTTTGAAGAATAGTATTTTCCAAAGTTCACCTTTCCTGTTGTTTTGTTTTTCTGTCCACAGTCAAAAGCAAAGTCAACACACTCAAAATCCAGAGAGAGTGAAGAAGCCCACCGTTCCAAGATTGACAGACCATCACGGTAAGATGAGCCCTGAAAATGAGAAAGAGAAAGTTAGCTTTGGGGTAGTGAGCTGACATCAGTTATCTCAGAAGAGAACTGGTCTTTCTAGCACAGAGCCAAAACTTTGCAATTGGGAACTCATTTCAAGTGTCACAGGGTTATTCTCAAGCCCTGTTCTGAATCTTACATTGGATTGCTTAAATCATAAAAAGGAATATGTGTAATGGACCCTGTGATAGAAGGAGAATTATCTTTTTTGTTGTTGTTGTTAAGAATACTTCTTGGCATTTAAGGAATTTGTGCCCTCAGCTAGAGAGATGATATTAACCAATTTCTAAATAGAAATCTCAGATTTTAAACTTTCATTGGGACTGAGAAGATAGCTCACTGCATAAGAGCATTTATATGTGTGGTGTGTGTGCATATATACTATGTATACGTCTGTGTGCGTGTGTGCGTGCGTGTGTTTTCAGTTTGCAGACTGAGTCTCACTGAGCCGTGCTCAGTGCTCTTCCTTTACAGTCACAGCATTGAGGAAATGCTATCTGGAGCAGCAACTTCTTTTTTCTTTGTTATTTTTTTTATTGCCTATCAGGAAGTTTGATTAAAATATGAGGAGAAACATTAAATATGGAAGGATGGCATGGAGAAAACAGGGAAGAAGAATAATAGAAGTTTGATCCATGGAAATGAATCTGTAGTTAAATAGGAACAAGAAACTTTGGTATTAGCAGTAACAAAATTGTAAATAACAGTTGTCATATGTGTATTTCAAGTCCCTAGATAAAAGCATAGTGAAAACTGTCACTATTAAGAATGCCTAGGGGCTGGGAAGATGGCCCACAGAGGACCCAGCCTCAGTTCCCTGACACCCACGTGGCGGCTGACTACCATCTATAATTTCAGTTCCTGGGGACCTGATGCCCTCCCTGTTCTGGTCTCCGTGGGCACTGAGTATGCAAGTGGTACACATAATACATGTTGGCGAACACTCATACACATAGATAAAAACTAAATACATACTTAAAAAAAAGAAATGATGGGGCTGGAGCAATGGCTTAGTAGTAAAGAGAACTGGCTGTCCAGAGGACCTAGGTCTGATCTCTAGCACCCATGTGGCAGCTCACAACCTTGAGTAACTACAATCCCATGGGATCCAACTCTCTTGACATCCAGGGGCACTGCACACATGTGTTTCACAGACATGCATGCAAGCAAAAACATCCATATGTACAAAGAACAAAATAAAATAAATATTGTAATAAAAGCAATAGTGAAAGAGGATGGGTGTGTTTGATCAGTTTTGAATGATAGACAACACACTTGTGTATTGAATTATGTTACCTTGTAGCTATGTTCTATTTTTATGTATGCATTAAAATTAGTTTGGATAAACAAATAGGGGCTGGGGGATATTGGTTGGTTTGTAGAAGGGTTGCCTAGAATGAGAGAAACCTGGGCTTTGTCCCAACACTGCATAAACTGGATGCAGTGGTACTTGTGTATTGATCCTAGAAGTGGGGAAATGGGGGCAGCAGATCAGAAAGTCAAGGTCACTGAGCAGGTCTCAAGAAAAAATAAAAAAAGGAAAGAAAGAAAACACTACTAATATTTTAAAAACCCTGAATTAATAAAGCCTTGACTTTTAATCCTGACTTAATAATTGTTATTAAAATTACTGGACTTTGAAGATGGCTTCCCTTTTAGGCATGAGCTAGAGTTCTGATCCCCAAAATTCATGCAAAGCTATCATGCTTGGTAGTCTTTGCACTTGGGAGGCAGAGATAGCATCCTTAACGCAAGCTGCTTAGCTGGACTAGCTGCTGCTGGCAGGCCCGGGGTTCAACGGGAGACTCCGTCTCAGTAAAAAAAAAACATAGAAAGCTATTGAGGGAGACATTGGACATTAATATCAAATCTCCTCATGCATACATGTGCGCATGCCTCAGCACACACATGTGCACGAAAACAAGTTTGAACATATGTGTATACAACATATATACAAGTAAAAGTTATTTTTAAAATGTGCGTTTAAGCTTATGTGGTTTCAAAACATAAATACCTTTCCGAAAATGATGCTGGGTATGTACTGCTCTGACAACAGTAGTAATATAATCTATGTAAAATCTCTTGGTCTTTAGCTTTTGCTGAGCACATATAGAATGTGTACATTTGTCATTCTGTATATTCTACAGTATCCAGGCAAAGGAAGAGAGTATGTTCTCAGGAGGTAAATGTCTGGTTTTGATTTAGTCATGTGAGTACAAATCATTTTTAGGGGTGTTTTTGTTCAGCCTTCAAAGTCCCTTACCTCTTTTGAACACTAGTATCTTTGACAGCAGATAAAACAGAGCGCTCTGCGATGGATGTTTTTAAAGGTTCATTAAAATTGAAAACAAATTCACAGAATATAAATAGGCCCTCTGAAGAGTATTGAAAGTGAACAATCAAATAATGATTTAATGGCTGTTAAGAGTTACTGTAGAATGGCACAGACACAGATCCTTACGTCTGCTTTGTACTGAGATGAACACTTGTTCTAAATATTATTTGCTAAAATACTGTGTATAAGACAAAACAAATGAATAAGGATTTTGTGAAACATTATTTCATAGTATAAAACCTCACAGTCTTAACAGATTTGTGAGTGTGTGCATTTTGCATAGCATCTGTTTCCTCTTTCACATTTAATCAAAATGGAAAAGTTGGGTAACTATTTGCATAGACAGAGTTAGTATAAAGGATAGGAGAGCATGGGTTTCCACAGTCATTCTGCGTTTTCTTCAGCCTAACAATGGCATCGGTCAATAACAAAACAAACAACAAATTCTCATGAGGAGCTTGGTGTATCCACTGTCAACATTCCAATTTCTTTTTTTATTCCAAGTTTTTTTCTGTCTTGTGGGGATGAAGGATCAGTCAGTAGTGTGAATTAATTCAAAGTCAGAAACTTCAGAGGGTTGCTGTGCACACTTCATACACTACAGAAGGTTGCTGTGCACACTTCATACACTACAGAGGGTGTGCTGTGCACACTTCGTACACTACAGAGGGTTGCTATGCACACTTCACACACTACAGAGGGTTGCTGTGCACACTTCATACACTACAGAGGGTGTGCTATGCACACTTCATACACTACAGAGGGTTGCTATGCACACTTCATACACTACAGAGGGTTGCTGTGCACACTTCACACACTACAGAGGGTGTGCTATGCACACTTCATACACTACAGAGGGTTGCTATGCACACTTCATACACTACAGAGGGTTGCTGTGCACACTTCATACACTACAGAGGGTTGCTGTACACACTTCATACACTACAGAGGGTGTGCTGTGCACACTTCACACACTACAGAGGGTTGCTGTGCACACTTCATACACTACAGAGGGTTGCTGTACACACTTCATACACTACAGAGGGTTGCTGTGCACACTTCATACACTACAGAGGGTTGCTGTGCACACTTCATACACTACAGAGGGTTGCTATGTACACTTCATACACTACAGAGGGTTGCTGTGCACACTTCATACACTACAGAGGGTGTGCTGTGCACACTTCATACACTACAGAGGGTTGCTATGCACACTTCATACACTACAGAGGGTTGCTGTGCACACTTCATACACTACAGAGGGTTGCTGTGCACACTTCATACACTACAGAGGGTTGCTATGTACACTTCATACACTACAGAGGGTTGCTGTGCACACTTCATACACTACAGAGGGTTGCTATGTACACTTCATACACTACAGAGGGTTGCTGTGCACACTTCATACACTACAGAGGGTTGCTGTACACACTTCATACACTACAGAGGGTTGCTGTGCACACTTCATACACTACAGAGGGTTGCTGTGCACACTTCATACACTACAGAGGGTTGCTGTGCACACTTCATACACTACAGAGGGTTGCTGTGCACACTTCATACACTAGAGAGGGTTGCTGTGCACACTTCATACACTAGAGAGGGTGTGCTATGTACACTTCATACACTACAGAGGGTTGCTGTGCACACTTCATACACTACAGAGGGTTGCTGTACACACTTCATACACTACAGAGGGTTGCTGTGCACACTTCATACACTAAAGAGGGTGTGCTATGCACACTTCTTACACTACAGAGGGTTGCTATGCACACTTCATACACTACAGAGGGTTGCTGTGCACACTTCATACACTACAGAGGGTGTGCTGTGCACACTTCATACACTACAGAGGGTTGCTGTGCACACTTCATACACTACAGAGGGTGTGCTGTGCACACTTCATACACTACAGAGGGTTGCTGTGCACACTTCATACACTACAGAGGGTTGCTGTGCACACTTCATACACTACAGAGGGTGTGCTATGCACACTTCATACACTACAGAGGGTTGCTATGTACACTTCATACACTACAGAGGGTTGCTGTGCACACTTCATACACTACAGAGGGTTGCTGTACACACTTCATACACTACAGAGGGTGTGCTGTGCACACTTCATACACTACAGAGGGTTGCTGTGCACACTTCATACACTACAGAGGGTGTGCTATGCATACTTCATACACTACAGAGGGTTGCTGTGCACACTTCATACACTACAGAGGGTGTGCTATGCACACTTCATACACTACAGAGGGTTGCTGTGCACACTTCATACACTACAGAGGGTTGCTGTGCACACTTCATACACTACAGAGGGTTGCTGTACACACTTCATACACTACAGAGGGTTGCTGTGCACACTTCATACACTACAGAGGGTGTGCTATGCACACTTCATACACTACAGAGGGTTGCTATGCACACTTCATACACTACAGAGGGTTGCTGTGCACACTTCACACACTACAGAGGGTTGCTGTGCACACTTCATACACTACAGAGGGTTGCTGTGCACACTTCATACACTACAGAGGGTTGCTGTGCACACTTCATACACTACAGAGGGTGTGCTATGCACACTTCATACACTACAGAGGGTTGCTGTGCACACTTCATACACTACAGAGGGTTGCTGTGCACACTTACAGCCCAGTGAGGCTGAGGCAGGAGGTGGTTGTATTCTAAACCACTTGGGAATAAAACTTGCTTAAGGAAGTAAAGAAAAATAAAACAAAATTTCAGCTCCAGGATTTTATACTGAAAATGCCAGTTGCTGTTTTAATTTCTGCCAGAGAATAGTCGAAAACTTTTACCAGTCTCCTTTATTTTCTAGTACATTCACATAAATATCAATTTATTTTATCTGCCTTCAAGCATCCTTTGATTGCCCTAGTACTTATACAGACCTAAGATAAGCCGTCTCTAAGAGTGAAGTTTTCTTCGCTGTTACAAATCTCAGACCATTGTGATGACTTCGTTAAGTGACATGGGTGAAAACACTGGGTGTGGGAAGGCTAGTGAGCCACTTAGCCTGCTGGGGTGCACCAATCAGTGGATGAAGAACATTTAACAATCTTAGTAATTAAATCTTAATAATTAGCAATCTTAGTAATTAAAAATATAATTTCATGAGTAATTGTAACACAAGTTCTAAAGAGTAAACTCTTGATTTCCCATCCTTAGTTGTAAATGTCACTAATTGTGAAACATTTTAAATGTCACTAATTGAGAAACAACCCTTCCATTACAACATAATAATTATGTAGGAAACAGTGAGTCTAGGGAAGCCTGCTATAAATTGGCCTCTCCTAAAAATGGATGTATAAACAGATCTGAACAATATCAATGGACATGTTAACATGGAAGGGGGGAGTTTTTGCTGGCTTCCATCCCTAAACAAGGAACACAGGTAACTATTGGCTGCTGGGAGAAGTGGAATTAGCCTCTCCCAGTTGGTTGTCCAGTGCAGAGTAGTCAGGTTAAAGCCATATACACAGGAACAACACAAATGGATCCAGGAGGTTGTATTTTATACATGTGTATGTATGTCTGTGTGTGTGTGTATTTGTGCATATCTGTATACATGGGTCAACGAGAATGGAGAGGGGCATGTCAGGTTGGAGGAATGAAAGGGAAGGAGAAAGTGATGTAATTCTAGTTCAGGTGAAAATAAAATATTTAGTATTTAGAAAAAGCTGAACATAGCAACACAGTGAGAGAACCGAGGCTATCTTAGAGTGAATTGCTTCTCTCTGCATGAATGTCCTGTGTTTTAGTCTTCAGGTTTGGGGGACTCTGGTGAGATCTCTCTGCTACTGTGATAAACTGTACACACTTTTTTTTGACTTGGCTGTCATCTTTAGCCACTTTGAGAAGCTGAGTCCTAAAGTCACTTGCTTGTTCTGCCGGAGTTCTTCGTAACATGCCTTATGTCACTTTCTAAGGTGTTAGGAATGTTAGTTAACATTGAAAAAAGCAAACAGACAACAGAGTCAATACTTGTAGGCAAAAGGTTCTGAATGAAAGTATTGCCGTGCTCACTGTGTGTAAAGTGTTTTTATGCATATCAGGGACAAAATTATTAAACCGGTATTTTCAAGTGGCATTTGAATTTTGCGAAACAAGGATAAACAGACCATTCCAGCTGTTCCTTGGTTCTCGTACTGCACTGTTCTGGTTGGTGTGGAGCTGCTCAAAGTCCAGATTTGATTTACTGCTTCCATTTCCAAATACACAGACACATGTGTCATATCTGCAGACACTGCTATTCCTCATGATAAACACATGTGGAGCTCTGCAGTAGTCAGACCAGTTTCTGGAGTCTGACTCTGTTAATAGCTATGTTGTCTGTGTAACAAGTATGCACAGTTGGGTCAGCCACTCCCCTCATCTATCTGTGTATCATGCAGACTTATGTTGTAGGCTCCACATTGAGATATGTGGAGTTCTCCCTGTACATGCAAGTCATCATTTCTTTAGATCCTTCCAGGAAGTGATTTCGGCTAGAGGTAAGTGGACAAATGCAAGCATGAATGCTTTCATTTGTAGACTGATTGCAGTCGATTCTATACAAAACTGACTACAACTTTTCAACCTCAACATGCTTACACCTCATGATTATCAAAAGGTCCTTTAATATGGTGTGTCAATCTGGCTCAATGTCTTAATGCAAAATTTTGACTATACATTTGGAACATTAAACAGAATTAAGCTATCTTTTCATTTTCATCAATGCCAAGTATTCTCAAGCTTCTATATTAAATAATTAAATTAATAAATATTTATAATTTAAAAATTTCCTTTTTGGACATTTTGTTTCTCTTTGGTATAACACCTTGTAAATGGGTTGCACAGAAATTACCATTTTTTTAAGGTGGACTTTGCCACCTAGTGGCTAAAGACCACTGTTGTTCATGAATGTTCTTCCATTATTAGTAGCCTGTATCCTTTCTAGGTCCTTATTTTCTTCTTTACTTAGCTTTGTTAATTTATTTACTTCTTTCTTTCCTTGGTAAAATCTGGAAAAATGAAGTAAATTAATGGCAGGACATAACTCATTCACATTTGCTTCTATGGCACAATGCCTCACACATTGGGAAAATATGCTTAATGAGTGACAGGTCTCAAGAAAAGTAAGATAAAAATGACTTATTCAAGAACATGCAGCTGCCCAGGAACTAAACTGGAAATTCTGAAGCACAGTTGGTGCTCCCATTCTATAGAAAATTTTGCCATGTTGCTCAGTGAGAGAGAAATGAAGTAAACATCACTTAAGAGTTTTTAAATTCTGAATCTTTGCAGACCACCACCATCTACAGTGATGAACCCTGAGGATCTGGACCACACCCATTTTACAAACCAGCATAGTGCCACTCGTCATTTCTCAAAGTCGGAGTCCTCACATAAAGGTAGGACTGTCTGTCTGATCAAGTTGAGATCCTGTTGTAGGAAATGAAATAATGTCTTTTACTTATGGGAGTGAGAAAACAGATCATCATCCTCAGAAGATATTAAAATACTGGAAAGCCAAAAGTAAATTACTTTAAATTAAATGCAAGATTTTCTGCATTTTTACACTGACCTCCATGTAGAAGTTACTGCTCTTTTGTTAAGTTATTAGAGGGAATTGCAACCCCCGCTTTGATTTATTGGACTGCTTTATCTGCACAGTTTAAACAACTGAAATATGAAGGCTGAAGGTTTTCAATACTGTGAATTCATTGGGACCATTTCAGATATAGACTTTTCAGACTAGGGGTGCCTCAACTGCCAATCTGTAGTCATATGGATTAGAAGTGAGAAATTAAGGATAGTCTATGCATATGTTTGAAAGAAAAGTCCCGAAACCTAAAACAGTTTTAATTCAAGCATGTTGATAATATACAGCCACCCCTGACAGTAGGAACTAGATTTGCAGTATGTATACTTTCATGCTACACAGCTTCTCACATTTGAAAAGTGCAGTAAAGAAAATGGGGAAAGAAATAGTGGATTAATAATTTTTCAATGAAATCATAGTTGGATTGCATTTGTTTTTCCAGTATATGCATATACACAGAGACAGACACACACATTTGTCAGTTACTCAATGAGAGAAAGAGTTCCTTTTTTAACTTCTCTATCTACAAAAGATTGGTAGTGAAATAATTAGTCCAGAATTGTCAGTTATGAAAGAAGACTGCGTGTGGTGCTATAGTCCTGTAGTCTCAGCACTCCAGAAGCAGAGGCAGAAAGATTGTGATGCCAGCCAAATATGAACTACATAGTGAGGCCTTAGGAGGTGGACAGAGTAAATGAAAGTTGATTATAGAACAAGTTACAAACATTAGATCTTAATATTTGATGGAACTTATTTGAAGATTTCTTGGGTGATATTTTTATCATTCCTTTTCCTTATTGATATTTTCAACATCTCTGATATAGCTATGAGTTGCTTGTGGGTTTGCTTCTTTCTCAAGCTGAGTGTATATCTTTTGGGGGTAGGGTAGGTCTGTCTGTCCTGGATATATACTTGCTGCAAAGTATTAAAATGACAAATTGATTCTGTACATGAGTATTTTATAAGCCAAGGCTTTAAAAAGAAGAAAGCAAAGAGGAACCACATAGAGTGCATTGATATAAATATAAATCTTGGGTAGGGAGACAATGAATTACAAAAATTTCATCTTTTTTAAGTTTATTAAAACTTCATTATAAAAAACTTGTAAATGAAAAAATGTTGCACACCAAAATTAACCAAATCCAACATTCGGACATTTCAATGCAATAATATAATTAGAAAGCTTTCTCATGTGAGGCTTCACATGGGAGTTTGCACTTTTTTTTTTCACTTTCAAGACTTGTCTTTGCACTTTTTTTTCAGATTTTTTTTTATTTAAATTGGGAACAAGCTTGCGTCACATGTCAATCCCAGCTCCCTCTCCCTCTCTCCTCCCCTGACTCCACAATGCCCCCCAGCCTCCCACCTGATCCCCACCCTGTTCCCCAGAGTCTGTTGTTTGGTATTTATCCCTGGCACGCAGATGGGCTTTGGTTGTCTTTGAGCTTTTGTACCATCAAAAATGAAAAATCCACGATGGGGCTAAGAATACAAAGACAGCTTTATATTATTCCTGACTCAAGTGACTGTTACCTGCACTTCAATTGTTTTTCCTTTTTCCCTTTTCCCCAGGTTTCTATAATAAGCAGTAAAACAAAACAAAACAACAACAACAGAGAGGGAACCTGCCTTGAGAATGGACTTGCTGCAGCACATGTTAACTGAATGATACAAAATGCATCCCACGTTGGCTGCTCCCCTTCTGTGTGCCATTCCTGGGAGTTACTCTCAAGTGTTCTCCTAACTATAAAATTCCAGTTCACTTCAGATGTTTTGGTTGTTCTGGTCACTTGGGCAGTGTAAGGAAATATAGCTTCTGAATATTGGCCACCTCTTCTCTGAATAGATTTCCTGGGATGTAATTAGAAATGTGTGAAAAGACACTTGCTAGGTACTTGATAGTGACATCTAGGGATTAGGGTTTTATTTAGCAATTAGAAGTGTACAGAGATACATTTTCAAATAAATCATAACATTTTGATCCAAGAAAGTATAATTCAGTATATGAAATAGCCACTTGGTTGTTTGTTTGATATTTTGAAGGATACAGTGTTTGGTCTTTATCCTCCTCAGAAAAAGTAAAATCACAATAGTAAAATGTAGGGGGAAATTCCCAGAGCAGTGGATTCTGGCTACATGAATCTGTAGAGGCTCTGGATAGATGTGTAACTAACCTGGTAGGAAAGTTTCTCTGGGAGTCTTGTTGTATCATTGTACTGCTATTTCCTCAGTAGCATGTCTTTCTGAAGCCCTTGGGCAATGCATCACATGCTAATATTTATTTGTAAAAACCCGAATTGCCCGATACTTTCACTCAGGTTCTTGAAGAATCACCTGAAAATTAAAGAAAAATAACCTTTCCTAGCCTTGATTTTTTTTAATTTAATTGTGGAGCCAAAGGAAATAGAACAATTTTCTTAAGAGTTGATGAGATCAGTCTTATTGCTGTGTATATCAAGTGTCTTGCTCCTAGGATGTAGCAGTTTTTGTTGGCAACCACTCAGTGATGTTTTGTGCACCTGTAATGATTAGATTAATTCAACATAAAGTTGAATTTGATGAAATGAGTCATTATCCAGGCATACAGTTCTGCTTCTATGTTGATGGCCATTGTATTCTTTTCCTCAAGACCTTTAAACTCTTCTTCAAAACTTGAGTTTTTGTCTTGCTGTGAATTTATAGAGTGTTTATTTGCCCATAACACTTAGTTACTATAAATGGCAGCCAAGCTATGTCTATATCTGATTGGCATTCTCCCTTGCTGTTCTTTTCATTGTGTGGAATTTTTTTGTTATTTTAATATGCTGTTTATTTAGGAAAGAAGAAAACAGGTTGCTGAGAAAAGTAATTTAGGGACTGCCTGCCTTCCATTTTCCTTGTCTTTCCAGACAGTTTTAACCTTGGGGAGGATTCGTGGAAACTGTTCCCAATAGATTTTTATCTCTGATTTTATATCTTTGGTTTCATAAAGTTACCTATGATAGAAATTTGGGTGAATAGCAGTGAAGGGTGAAGCTGTGGGCAAATAGTAATTTTGGATCAAACAAACCAAGCAGGCAAACATTTGGGAAGAGTGGAGGAGAGGGGAATTAGAGGCCTGAGTGCTGGCCATGAAATACATATAGGAAGATCTTTCAGACAAATGGAAAATCTAGCCTTAAGTCAGAATTTGCACAATGGTTTCCATATCAAAGCGTAATCTTGTTGGTTTATGTTAATACTGTATCTTTCTTTATCTGCCCTGTGATTTTACTTCATATTTTTAAAGATTTTTTGTAATGTTAACCTTAAAGGAAAAGTATAGTTGCATTTTATTTGTTAATTAGGCAAAACAGATAACATCTTTGGCCATATTTTTGTTTTATAATGTTTATTTTTCTATCTCATGAAATGATCACTCTTACTTTAAAAATGCATTTCTTTTGCCTTTTATGGACTTCATTTTATCACATTTATTACTGTAAAATGAACATGTTTCAGTTTAAAAAATGCCAAGCCACTTAACCTGAATGCTGGAGTCTTACTTGTTTCGGTGGACGGCCAAAGGCAGAGCTGCCCAGGTGATAGCCAGCTCAACATCAGTATTGGAAAATTTGTTACTTTTTAAAAGTTTTTTTAAGAGTAGAATTTTAAAATATTTTGTTTATTTTTTGTAAAGTGAACAGTTTTAAGAGTATCAGTAATTACTACTTATGACTAAAAAGATAGAAAATATTCTTAATTATTCTTAATGTTCTCAAATTTTTGCTATCACTCAAATAATGCATTTTTGAGATGATAGGAGCCACTAACAGCTCTTAATGGACTGCTACTCTTCACTGTGGGTTTTCCTCTTTAATTCATCACTTTTATAGAAAAATGAAAGCATTCACTTTGTTCCTCCTGCTGTTGAAGTACATGCAGTTTAATACTTAGGTCCTTACTGTATTATGATTTGCTGTCAATATTTAGACTAAATCTTCTGTCCTCGAGAAATGTTTTGTTTCTAAATTTCCCTGCAGGTCCTGCTCTTATGACACCAGTATTACTGAATGAGCACAGTATGTTAAGGAGCCTCATCACAAGGCTACCTGGCATGACACTTGCTCTTACCTTTCCTAAAATATTTTAAATATTCACTTAGCAAAGAAGGTAGTTAAAAGTCAGATTAAATATCCTGACATGAAAGAAAATTGATTCCAGTATTTAAGCTACTGTTAGTCATAATTGCTTTGTTGGGAGAATAGATAATTGCTTCTTTTATTCTCAAAGATTATTGAGAATTTTTGGAAGTGACTTTGCATGTCACTGAAATGTTATGGGTCAAGTGATTTTATGACAGATGGCAGTATAATAATGAACTAAAAACCAAAACAGCAACACCCAAATGTTTTCTGGTCTTTGAGAAACATCTGAATTAGGTAGAGAGATGTGTATAGATATGCAACAGAAGAAACCTTTTCATAGTGGCCTTGGTCACATGGACCTAGATAACCATGTTCTAAAATATGTAACCTGTGTTCCATTGGACTCTTCAATACTGTGATAGCTTCTCTAAATCTGTTTGTGCCAAATTGAAAAAAAAGCCTTCTATAATATGGTGCATTCATTCTGTTTACCACATAAGTGGTTAACATTTTACAGTCTTGATTTTTAATGAGCAATGCCTTTATATAAAACTTGCATTGGAAAATATGAAAATCTATTATTTGATACTTTTAAAAGATAACTTCAGATTGGCTGAGGTCATCAGCCTAATGAAGGGATGAGGCCCATGGAGAAATAACTCAGAGAACAGACAGAATAGGGCTTGAAATAAAAGGCTTCTTCTATTTGGGGAGGGGGGGCATTGACATTGAAAGAAAACATCGCGATGCCTTGATTTCACTGCCTATGCTGTGTCATTCTCTTGTAGGAGGCTTTTTAGAACAACCTCTAAGAAAAATCAAAACCTGATCTTCCAGATAAAAACGATTTTTAAAGTATATAATGTGTGTGTTATATGCTGCTCACAGCAGAGAAGTGACCCCATTTCTCTCCCTTCTGTTGGTATCTGTATGCTTTAGAACCATAGCTGTGTATCTGACTGGTGACACAATGCTTAGTTCTTCCTACCCTGTGGTAGGACAATGTCGGCCAAAAGAAGCCTATTGTCTTCTTAATACTGCATGGAGCAGTATTCTCCCAATATGTGATGAAAGTTGTTTTGTTTGGTTGGGTTTTATCATGATGATATGTAAGACAATTAAAGGGAAGACTCAGAGGCTTTGGTTGCTTCTGCTATGTAACTCATCAGAAATGCTCAAATTTACTTGTAGAGGCTCCAAGAAAGCAAGAATAAGCTAGGAAATCATTAATGATGAGTCACTTTTCTGATGAGCTCTGCACTTTATGTCAGCAATGTCTGTGAAGATCAGTTTGCCTTAAATTACTTTGAGTCCAACTGAGGCCATTGTGTTTGGTGTATATGAACTCCTGTGAGCCCTCCATTGGCATACAATTCATAGAAGCATCTCATACATCATCAGCATCATCTGGAGCTTTGAACTTCTCTCACTAAACGTGGGTCAACTTGTAATATTAACAGATGTATTTCTCACTTCCTGGAGCAGCAGAGGCATGGCCAGAAGCACTGCTAGTGGAGAATTCCCTGGCTGGAATGTTCACACACAGTGATCACTTTCTGAACTGTTGAGAGCTTCCTGTTCCTTTTTGTGATGACCTTGCAAAACATATTCTAAGGGTTCTGTGGTTCAATGACAACAGTAATATTTTTAAAGAATTTTAACAATTATGTTTATGCATTAGAATGTTTATTTACCATTAACAAAAATAGGGAAAAAACAAACAACATGGAGATGCTTATTTGACATGGTGATGTGAAGAGTGTTGTAGTTTATTACTTTTAAAAGAATTAAGCAGGAAACATGTGCTGTGGTAGAGAAGATAGAAGAACAGCTTTTATAGGCTGTGTTTGATGTCACAGACAAGCACAACCATGCAAGCAATCACAATAGTGTTTACCACTGAAAGCCATTCTCTTTCCCTTATAAATCCGAACACTGCTACTAACATGTTCATCATAGGCTTAATATGCCTTTGTACATGTTAAGCAAAACAGAAAGTGGTTTTCTCTTTTTAAGCTGCTTTTCATGGTATACTGATTTCAGCATTTAGATCAGGGCAGAATTAATTATGTAACTGTATTGCCCTGGTCTTTATTGGTAAGATTCAAATATGAAGGATTCTAGCTAAAACTTTGGTTTTAGAAGTTGTCAACTTCTGAATAAATTGTCTCTAAATTCCCACAGACTATAGCTTTAGCCCTTGCTGTAATCCAAAAGGCAGATGCCCTTTTTCCATGGCAGCTGTATTTTCCATGTAGCTTTTAGTGAGTAACCACACATTGATTTCATGAAATGATGTAAATATTAGAAAGTAAAATGTGGAAATGACATATAAAAGTGACATTGTGAAATGACAAGTCTCTATAATGTTGGCTATCTCCTAAGAACAATCTATTGCTGCAAAACATTTGAAAAATGCTAGATTTGAAAGTACAAGTTTGTTTCATAATCAAGTTTCTCAGGAAATTTGAGGTGATACTGCCATTTGTCTTATAATTTATAGAGGTAATCTCTTGAGCTAAACTCCGCAGGCCCTACACATTTCGTTTGGCAAGAGTCCTTTAGTTATGGTGAGATAAATACACTTATACAACAGATGAGTTGGAATCCCAAATGCTGGTCAATTTATAGTCAAGGTAGGAGGGGAAGTTAATGGCTGTGAAGTATGCATTTCATGGAGCTAAACAGAACCTCAGTAGAATATTGTCTCTTGTCTGAAGAAAGAGACCACCTCACACCACATGCCTATGTAGAGATTGAGTAAAACTGTGAGGGACACTGTGTAAATGCCTTAAGGTGACTGGTAGAGGTTTGGTGGGCATGTATGCAGCTATCTGAATTAGGCTGCGGGAAACAGTCTGTTCCAAACCATCTTCGTACAGCCTCAGTTGCTCCTGTCCATTACCTTGTTGAGGAAGATGAGAAATATGGTGCTGGTTACTTTCATTTATCTGGGGAGGCTGATGTCATTGGTTAACATGGCCAGTGCCCAAGCCTTCCTTCAATACCACTTGTACATCTACATCTGTTCATCTATGCAAGCTTGTATTTTGTGGTTTGTATTTGACACCTGAACATCAGGGTTAGCATTGGTGTTATAAATACTTTTTAAACCAAAGTATTGTATGAATAAGTCTGTGTGCTTTGTTTTTGTGGAAGGTTTGAGGTAAATACCTATCTTGTCTTCTCTTAATAAAGTCACCCATTTATTATGTCAATGATGGCCTTCTGTTTTTGTTATTACATGCAAAGTCTGAAGTCTGAGAAACTCATAGAATTTTATTTCATTTTATTGTCTTTTACATTTTGATAAAAGATCCATTAGATCTTTTGAAGTACTAGTAAAATTTTATCGATTCCATGTTCTTTGGTTGAACTCATGTAACATAATGCTATGTGTACAGTGAAGAAACGTGAGGTGAAGACAGGAGAATAACTGGAAGGTTTCAGATAAACCAGTAGGGGATAGTGGAAAATGCCTGTCTCACACGTAAGATTTCTGTCTCATCAAACATGGAGAAGTAAAGACAGTGCCTAGCTTGAAGTATTATCCCTACTGACTAGCATTCATGGAACTTCAAAGTACATTGCATGGATCAGAGAAGAAAGGTAATCAATCAGTTACTAACCCTACAACCCACAACACTGACCTCCCTGTCAGATACACTGGTGCAGTGGTGACACAAATATTATGGTAGTAATCACCTTATGATGGAGTTTTAAATTTCACTCCATGAGTCAATATGAGCCCATGCCTGAAGGTCAAAGTGGTCGAGAACCTGAGACTAGATAGGCCATAGGATCAGGAAAACCAAATACTATTGTTCTTCCAAAGGATTATAGCAATACAATGACACTTAATGGCATTCTACTATACTCATAGATCAGTGTCACTCAGCCATCACCAGAGAAGTTGCTTCCTGCAGTAAATAGGAGCTAACACAGACGGCCCACAACTGGACAATGTGCAAAGAGTGGGACACTTTGGAGCACTTACTCTCAAATAGGATGTCTTTATCAAACCCTCCAAGACTCAGGGTGTATAAGGGAGAGGAGGTGGAAAGATGGATGACGACAACGAGACAGTGTCTTCATACACAACAAACCTGATGCATAGATGAACTCACAGAGACTGGCAATATGTATTAGACCTGCACAAATGGGGTCCCAGCACTGAGAGTGGAAAGTTGGCATGGACTTCCACATCTCACCAAGAAGCTATATGTGCAGCTGATACCCACTGACAGAGCAAAAGTTAGTTTTCTCTACTGGATTCTCCCTGGGTATATTAACTACACCCCAGGGCAAGCTCCGTGCCTAGGAGTAGGTGGCCAACAAAAAACTAATTCCATGGTATTTTTGAGGTTCCCTGTCTCATTTTGCTTAGTTTCGGAGTTAATGGTTTTTTTATTTGTCTTTTAGTTCTATATTGATCAACATACATTGTATGAAAACATTTTTCAATAATAAAGAAAATGGGGGGAAAGTGTCTGTCTAGATGGGGTAGAAGAATAGACCAACATCTGAGCTCGTCCCATTGATTCACATGCTCACAATGGCATGTGCACACCCACACTTCACCCCCCCCACACAGGTAATGTCATTAATATTTACTAATCTACAGTATGAGGTGTAGACCAAGTCATTGTTTTAAAAACATAAATAATGTAGGTAATCAAATAATTATCCTGATTTAAGAAAAATCATATTGTACCTCAGGATAATGAATAGGTACCAAGGGTTAAGTGGTACCTTGATGGAAGTATTTTAATTAATTCCTAAATGAAAATAATAGGAGACTATGGTAATTTTCAGAAATACATTTGTATAAAATGAAGGTGAACTAGACATTATATTTCTGCACATGGATGATACACTATTAGAAGCAATCTCTAAGTGTTGAGATTTGTGCCCTAATGTATATGGAGTAAAGGTTCTGAAGAGCATTTGTGTGTTTGTAGGGGTTGTGCATATTGTGGAGGGTGTTTTCCATATTTCTTCACCTTATGCTTTGAAACAGTCTTTCAATGAACCTGGAGCTCATCATTTAGGCTGGAATGGCAAGTCTCAGTTACCCTCCTGCCTCTCCACCCCCCCCCCAGCACTAAGATTACAGGTGTGCTACCCCCTAGATTTCCACCTGGATGCTGGGACCTGAACTTAGGTATTCATGCTTGGTCCGCATGTACATTACCCATTGAGACATCTCTTTTCAGTCCCTGAAAAAATGTTTAAATATCTAGATAAATTTGCATTCTCGAGAATCCAGAAAACTTCAAAAAACGAATAACAAAAATACCTCAAAACTGAACATACTTAAAATGGAGAAAGAACAGGGATGTTGGTAGTCTTTTAGTAACTGAAAAGAAGAATCAGTGATAATTAGAGAAACATGAACACTTTTGGTAGTTGATGACATTAAGAGGTGAGTGTTAATATTTTAGATTCAGTCACGGTCTCAAGATTAGATAATAACGTAAGGACGATAGCGGCATTGCATGGCATGGAAATATGAATCAGCAGTTCAGTTGGTCTTCTAGAGGACTGCTGTGAACACCCACTTGGTGACTCATAACCACGTGTGACTTAAGCTCCAGGGGATTTAGTGCCCTCTTCTGGTCTCTGGGGGCACTTTACATGGTGCACTTTGCATAAAAATAAATTTGAAAAAGCTCAAAGTTGTATTTCACAAATAACAAAATGTTTACATATGAGTACAGATAGTAATAAATATGAAGGGAGTGAGAAATACAAGGTAGCGATCATTTTTCAACCACCAAGAATCTGTACATCTTTTTCTTCAGATTTTCTCTTGTAGTTTAATTGAAAAGGAGCCTGGCTTTTCTAAGCTCTCAAGTGGCGCACAGCATGGCTTGGTGGGTGGTTATGGTGTGGGAATCTGAAGTGTCCACGGTGACTTGTACTCTACGATACCTTTCTGGAAAATGTGGAGAAGGTGAGGAGCATGGCCTGCGCATTGGATCCCAGGTGAAGAGGATCCTGGGAAAGTCAAGCGCCATTTGTGATGTAGACCTTCACCGTATGCCCAGGTGCACCTCTGGGCAGGAAGGGAGTGGGTAACAGGAGTCAAAAGGTGGGATTGATTACTCCTTTCTAAGCTTTCATTAGAGGTGGAGGCAGCTGGAGGCATGTGTGCTGCCGGTTCACCTTTGGTCACTAGTGCATGTGGTGTCAAAAAAGGCATAAATTAATGTTTTACAGCCTTTTCTTACCCTAGAGTTTATATCTTAGGTGTAGGAGCTGTGTACATAACAGAAAATAAATAAGAAATAAATAAAAGAAAAAAGAAAACAATCCTCATGTTTTTTAAGTGAAAGAGAAATACACTTTTCAGATAAAACATCAATGTAAAATCCATACTGACATAAATAGGCATATGTGTTTCAGGCAACAGAAATTCTTGAATGAAAGGACAGAAATGATAAATTATAAGTGTAATTCAAAAGTCTGTATTTGTTGGTAGTGGCAGGTGACTGCTGACTTTTTAAACAATGTCACTTTTTGGATTTAAAATTCAAACATATGAAGATGTCCATAAATGATGAAGAATGGTGTTAAATTATTCCAAGGTAATAATATTTCTGAAGCTTTCTCCTTAAACACCTAAGGAGTTTGTGAAATCAGAGATCAGTGTCAGAAGACACGATGCTGGGCTCTAGATTTTTCATGACTAACAAGCTTCCACAGGTATTTTTATATTGCTTATCTAAGAACACATTCTCAGTAGGATGAGTTCTTCAGTATTTTGGAAGAATCAAAAGTATTATTGTGCTCTGATATATAGTTTTTCATAATTATAATTAATTGTAACAACAGAGAGAACAAGAGAGAATATAAAATAACCAAATAATCTGTTTCCCGACTTCTAGTGAGACAGCATACTTTCAGGCACAAAGCATACGAAGTAGATTTACCGTTTTCAGCTAGGCATAAAAAGACAACAAAATTGCCACAAACAACATAAAATACCTTGGGGTAACGCTAACCAAAAAAGTGAAAGACCTGTATCGTAAGAACTTTGAATCTTTAAAGAAAGAAATTAAAGAAGCCCTCAGAAAATGGAAAGATCTCCCATGCTCTTGGATAGGTAGGATCAATGTAGTAAAAATGGCAATCCTGCCAAAAGCAATCTACAGATTCAATGCAATCCCCATTAAAATCCCAGCACAGTTCTTCACAGACCTTGAAAGAACAATAATCAATTTTGTATGGAAAAACAAAAGACCCAGGATAGCCAAAACAACCCTGTTCAACAAGGCAACGTCCGGAGGCATCACCATCCCTGACCTCAAGCTCTATTATAGAGCTATAGTCCTGAAAACAGCTTGGTATTGGCACACAAATAGACAGGTAGACCAATGGAATCGAATTGAAAACCCGGGTATTAACCCACACACGTACGAACATCTGATCTTTGACAAAGAAGCTAAAAATATACAATGGAATAAAGAAAGCATCTTCAACAAATGGTGCTGGCATAATTGGAGACTGGCATGTAGAAGAATGCAGATCGATCCATGTCTATCGCCATGCACAAAACTTAAGTCCAAATGGATCAAAGACCTCAACATAAATCCAGCCACACTGAACCTCTTAGAAGAGAAAGTGGGTGGTACCCTTGAACGAATTGGTACAGGAGACAGCTTCCTGAACATAACACCAGTAGCACAGGCAGTAAGATCAACAATTAATAAATGGGACCTACTGAAACTGAGAAGCTTCTGTAAGGCAAAGGACACAGTCAGCAAGACAAAAAGGCAGCCCACAGAATGGGAAAAAATGTTCACTAATCCCACATCTGACAGAGGGTTGATCTCCAAAATTTACAAAGAACTCAAGAAGCAAGTCTCCAAAACACCAAAGGACCCTATTAAAAAGTGGGCTGCAGAACTAAATAGAGAGTTTTCAATAGAGGAGTCTAAAATGGCTGAGAGGCACTTGAGAAAGTGCTCAACATCCTTAGCCATCCGGGAAATGCAAATCAAAACAACTCTCAGATACCATCTCACCCCTGTCAGAATGGCTAAAATCAAAAACACCAGTGACAATTTATGCTGGAGAGGATGTGGTGAAAGGGGGACACTCCTCCATTGCTGGTGGGAGTGCCAACTGGTTCAGCCACTTTGGAAATCAGTGTGGAGATTCCTCAGAAAAATGGGAATAAACCTACCACAAGACCCAGCAACTCCACTCTTAGGCATATATCCAAAAGATGCCCATTCATACAACAAAGAGGTCTGTTCCACTATGTTCATAGCAGCTTTATTTGCAATTGCCAGAACGTGGAAGCAACCTAGATGTCCCTCACCCGAAGAGTGGATAGAGAAAATGTGGTACATCTACACAATGGAGTACTATTCAGCAGAAAGAAATAATGGAATCATGAGATTCGCAGGCAAATGGATGACACTAGAAGAAACCATCCTGAGTGAGGTAACCCAGTCACAAAAAGAGAAACATGGCATGTACTCTCTCATATATGGATTTTAGACATAGATCTGGGGAGTGCCAGCCTACAATCCTATGGCCAGAGAGTCTGGGAAACAGAAACTTTATTTAGTGGCTGATCGAAGAAGAGGCAGACTCCCTTGGTTAAGTACTGAGCTGAACTCAAGAAAGCCAGTAACAGAGAGGGAGGACTGATGAGCAAAGGGATTAAGACTGGGCTGGTTTAACCCCCAGAAACAGCTGACCAGACAAAGGTTAACTCTTGAATCCCAGGCATCAGTCTGGGAATCCAGCATGGGACTGATCAAGACCCCCTGAATCTGGGTGTCAGTGAAGAGGCCTAGGGAATCTATTGAGCCTTGGGCAGCAGATCAGTACCCATCCCAAGTATACACACGGACTTTGGCCTCCCATAGAACAATGTGAGGTGCACTCTCACCCTGAACTCTTGGGGAAGGGTCTAGGCCCGGCCCTATATGAAATGACAGACTATGGACACCCCCATGGAGGGCCTCACCCTCCCTGGGGGAATGAGGGGATAACGGGGGGGGGGGAGGGCACGGGAGGAGGGGAGGGAATGGGAGAGGGACCTGGAACTGACTTGTGAAGCAACCTTGATTCTTATCTAAATTTAAACTGGAAAATAAAATTAAAAAAAAATCTTAAAAATAAAAAAAAGAAACAAAAGCAAACAAGTGAAACAAACAAAAAAAAAAGACAACAAAAGCCAAAGATTTCTAGCAAGACAATCCCCAATGCTCAGGAAAGCTGCAGTGTAGTGGACACTTCCTCCTCAAATGCCCAGAGAACTGCAGTTAGGGTCGCTGAAAGTCAGCCTACGCAGAGTTACACTCTAGGAAGATGTGACCATTGAGCCAACCAATGTATTGTCAGTGACTTGTTTGCTGAAGACAGTAACAGAGCCCAGTATTTCCCATCACTTCCCTTCCTATCTCAGGTTGTTGGAACTATTTTCAGTCTTTCGTGGAAAGTACACAAGAGAAGAGTGAGAGCTTGGGTCAGCAATGGCTATCCAGAGAATTCTTTTCCAACAAGCAGGTACTGGGGGAAACATGAGAGTAAGACGTCATCATTCTGGAAGGAACACAGAAAGGGGGTCAAAGGGAGAGTCAGGGTTTAAACAATGGATCCAAACACAGTTTGAGGAACTATTCAAAATGTTTTCGGGCTCAGTGTTCCTATTGAAAAGAGACAAGAGTATCTGGACGCTAAAGTCCATCTGGCTGATTCTATACAAGAACAACTTATAACCAACTTTCAAGTGTGTCATGAACCACTTGAAACAGATACTACAGAAATAATGTACATTATTCTAAAAATTTCACATGAACTAACCAAAATGTGGTGTGTGTGTGTGTGTAGAAACTGAGACAAAAACTGTGAAGGTAAAAACTTAATTTCACCAGGAACTTTTTGACAGCATGGGTAAACACATTTCCCTTCGAGTCAAAGCTATTTTAACAGCCTGAGATATGTTGATTCTCATATCTCAGGCTGGCTCCAAATTAATTAGATAGATCAGGCTTGCCTTATACCCCTGATTCTCCTGTTTGTACCTGCTAAGTGCTGAGGTTACAGGTGTGTACCACCAGGCCTATCTATCTCTAGGGACAATGTTTTGGACTTTGAAGGTTAAGTTTCTGTGTTATTCTTCATTATTGCCAGCAGAGGGCGCTCAGAGATGGCAAGACAGCCTTATCCTTCCCACTCTTAGCTGATGAACTAACTGGTTTTGCTGAACAACTTACAGAGGAAAAAGAAATCAAATGTTTACCAAAAGATAGTTTATTTGCAAATTCACCAAACTGGTATGATAAAAATGAGAATATTAATAAGTATAACATAAACTAATTAAAGCATTCACTGATCCATTTAAAAGATTTGCTGTATTTTGTCCCAGGGTCTGTTCTGCAATTACATATAGCTATAGTTACACTAAGAGATAATTTGGTGTGGAGGGAACTTACACATATTTAACCATTGTTGAGAATGAGCAACAAGAAAGGGAAAAACTGAAGAACATGGAAAGTGTGTTAGCAACAGAATAAAAGTCCTGGTTAAGAGAACTGGAGACATGTAGCATGACACAGCATGTGTGCATCTACAGAGAGAGAAGGAATCAACTGTGTGTGAACCATGGGGTAAGTCATAGGAAACACTCATCAAAGAGTGTATTTCCCCAACTGAGAACGAAAGGGACCCTTTGGGAGATTGAGGAATGCAATATGAGAGGGTCCAATATGGTCTAAACTAAACTGATGGCACTTGAGATCTTGTGGAAAATGGTGACAGTTTAGAGAAAAATGACTGAGGGGAATGATGGAGGGCCTGAACTAAGGTTGCTGAGTATGGTGGATCTAGAGAGCAGCTGTGATCGGATTCCATGCATTTATGGTGGCATCAATCTTCATGGCTGCTGGGTTTTAGCAGCTGCATCAGCAACCCACGTGCATAAGCAGAAATAAATGGATGAAAGTGGCCCATACCAAGGCTGAGGTGGGATTGAGCATCAGGGAGGTTCAGGGATAGATGTAAGGAGAGAAATTAAGGAGAAGCACCCTGGAAGTGACTGGGCCTAGGGAAAGAAGTATCATTATCAGGGGGCAGGGACGTATAGTCATGTATGAGCCCATGTACCAGGAAGCAAAGAACTTAATCTCAAGAATGAATTATTTTGGTCACAAAACAGATAATTTACATATGGAATAGGCTTGCAGGCAAAGAAGTAATAACTGCAGAAGACAAATATAATCAAGATGAGGGTACAAGGGCACTAACGTACCATTGC